TTTATATTTATTTATTATTTTTCATCAGGAGCAGACAACACAAATTGGTCGTTTTTATTGATTAAGCATGCATGGTTCAAATCTGCTTTTAAGTTGTCTTTTTCAGTGGCAAGTCAGATTATGTGACTGGCATTGTTGGTGCATTTCGAAATGAGATATTCGTGAATTTGATTCTCTGCGTTGATTTGAACAGGACATAAACAAATGCTACCCCAAGTCTGCAGTTTGGCTGTGAAGATTTGTTTCCTTGGGGCACCCAAGAAACCAATGTTTGTAGGTGGGACTCTGGATGTTTGTTGGCACCATACCAGTTCTCATAGGGTACACGGAAGTGACACATTTCTGAGAAATCACTTCAGGTTTCTTCCCACGTTTACCTGACACCATCATGACTGTAATACTGTTCAAAACAGCATTGACCTCATCTCACTCATCCTGCAGTTCGAGCGGTTGTTGTATGAATGACCTTGTTGTATGAATGACTGGAGTTCTCATTACAATTCCACAGGTTGGTATCTGACTGGAGTGTGCGGTCATTACAATTCCACAACGGTTGGTATCATTGTCTGTCTGGAGTATGTGGTCATTACAATTCCACAACGGTTGGTATCATACAATTGTCCGTCTGGAGTATGTGGTCATTATAATTCCACAACGGTTGGTATCATACAATTGTCCGTCAACTTTGATTAAACATTTTTATTCGAGGACACAATCTTAATTATCCCTCTGTTATATCAACAGAACTTATATTATTCTGTGATCTTTGCTAGGCACTCAGAGGTTTGAAAAACATGACATGAAATGTTTTTTAATAAATTCTTTTTTCTTTGTAAAGACAATTCAGGGCTTATACTTGCCCCTGAAACAGTACAGCTATGAAAGTGTTGATTATGGTTGAACTAGGTCAAGTTTGAATCTTTTAGTAAGATTTGAACAAATTAAGAGAGTGAGCACTTAAAGAATTACCCAAGTCTGTTGAAAAACCTCTGTGACAAATAAACATCAATGGCTCGCCTAGCTGTTTACCCTTGATGACCCCGGGTATTGTGTCTCCAGTCTGATATGGCAAAAAATCCAGAACCCATTTGCTACCATCATTTCATTTGTGAAGTCTCGCCTTGATTTCATTTTGGTTGCTGCACCTGCAACCTCAGTTACAAGTCACTGGAATACTGGAATATGTTCTTTTACGATACCATATATTGGAATCCAGTTTAGACTTTTGGAGAAAGCTGATTCCAACTATTGGTCATGACTTCATGAGGGTAATTAATTGTGTCATTCAAGTCAGACGATGGTAGGGAATGGACCCTGGGCTTTATCAATTGGCAACATAATGCACTTGATAAACGAAGATGGAAGCTATAGTGGCCCAAGGACACATATCGTCCATGTAGTTTCACTTCAAGGCATACATTGCAGATAAATTTTAAATAACCCCAACCTTTATGAAAACCATTGTGTAACAAAGATTAAATCCCATTTTGGTGTGAGTGAAATGTGAAAAATATATATTTCAAGACATTTGAGTTTAAAACAGCTTTTGACAAGAGTTCCAAATTCTTTATGACAGACCATGGAGTACAAACTGCCTCCAAAGTTAATGAATGAAGACAATAAGGTCGATTCCTCTATTGACCAATACAATATGAGGAACAGGAAAAAGTATTTCAATGCATAATTACTGGTAGGTGTTAATTTTCTTGACAGATTTAAAATTTACACAAGTCCATTTGTCCAAGACAGTATAATTCAGAAAGAACTAGTGACACTGGTACCATAAAGTTGATGGATTTTTGTAGGATGAATGTTAAAAAATACAAAAATAATTTGAAACATGTTCATGGTCTACAGAAACTGGGTTATGATATTCTCCACTTTCAGACATTTATGTGATTTGGTGAAATGTAACTCATGTTAATTCATTATGTCAGGAAGCACACATTGAATGTCTCAACATAATTTATTTGTAATCAGTCTAGAGAGTCTTCAGCACAAAATATATTAAATTGTCTTCTTTGTTTACACATTTTGCTATAAGCAAACAAAGGCAGATTAACTGTCAGTTGTTCGTGCTATTACATATCTTTTGTGTTTAGGAAGGAGAATATTTGAAAGCATATTTTTTATTTAATTAAAGATTTTGTTGTGGCATCTTAAAGTGCTGGGGGTTTTAAAATTCTTTTGCAAAAATGTAACCAAATCTTGATCAGGGAATAAATGCATGTTAGTATTAAGCAGTGGTATGGCTAGCAACGTTAGCAGTGTGTAAGTGGTATCCACATCATTGCTTGTGTCACCAAGGACCTAGTACTGTATACCATTCAATGATGTAAGCATCATAGACAAGTTAGCATATGAAATACTTTTATCTCCACTTTTTTTTTTCCATTATTATTATTTATTTATTTTCGGGTGGTTTTTTTTTTTTTGGGGGCATTGTTTCATTTGTTCTTATTTTCAAGGTTGACAAAACATGTTGAATACTTACTTTTATGTTGTCAGGATATGAACAGAGGTGTACAAAGAGTGATTTTTATGACAAGGTGTGGTTCAGAAGATCAGCCATTGTCAGGATAACAGCACATGCCATCTCATTGTATCAAGTTCATCTCATGTCATGGAGGCAATACGAGCTATATCATCACATTGACGTGCCATTTCTTTCACTGTATATCATTCTTTATATTTGGAATCCCCCAGACCTTGTATTCACCCATACTGCATAGTCATTTCATTGTTCAAAAGATTTATGAATATACAAATCCAGTTGTTAGAAATACTGATGAAATATTCTCTATTTCACTTGAATAAATCTTGAAATTTGATCCAGTATGTTATTTTTATTTGCCGGTCCTCATGTGTATGATTTATATTTATGATTTATTATATGGACAGAATGTGAGAATACAAACTAGTGTATGATGGAATGAGCATGGATCCATGTCAGAATGTGGGACATTCCAGTGGTAACAATGGACCCATGTCAGGATGTGAGAGTACAAACTAGTGTTTGATGAAGGGAGCATGGGTCCATGTTAGGTGGTGGCTGATACTGTAAGCATGGATCCAGGTCAGGATGTGAGAGTACTAACTAGTGTTTGATGAAGGTAGCATGGGTCCATGTTAGGAGGTGGCACAACATTGCAGTGGCTGATACTGTAAGAATGGATCCAGGTCAGGATGTGAGAGTACTAACTAGTGTTTGATGAAGGGAGCATGGGTCCATGTTAGGTGGTGGCACAACATTGCAGTGGCTGATACTGTAAGAATGGATCCAGGTCAGGATGCGAGAGTACAAACTAGTGTTTGATGAAGGGAGCATGGGTCCATGTTAGGTGGTGGCACAACATTGCAGTGGCTGATACTGTAAGAATGGATCCAGGTCAGGATGTGAGAGTACTAACTAGTGTTTGATGAAGGGAGCATGGGTCCATGTTAGGTGGTGGCACAACATTGCAGTGGCTGATACTGTAAGAATGGATCCAGGTCAGGATGTGAGAGTACAAACTAGTGTTTGATGAAGGGAGCATGGGTCCATGTTAGGTGGTGGCACAACATTGCAGTGGCTGATACTGTAAGAATGGATCCAGGTCAGGATGTGAGAGTACAAACTAGTGTTTGATGAAGGGAGCATGGGTCCATGTTAGGTGGTGGCACAACATTGCAGTGGCTGATACTGTAAGAATGGATCCAGGTCAGGATGTGAGAGTACAAACTAGTGTTTGATGAAGGGAGCATGGGTCCATGTTAGGTGGTGGCACAACATTGCAGTGGCTGATACTGTAAGAATGGATCCAGGTCAGGATGTGAGAGTACTAACTAGTGTTTGATGAAGGGAGCATGGATCCATGTTAGGTGGTGGCACAACATTGCAGTGGCTGATACTGTAAGAATGGATCCATGTCAGGATGTGAGAGAACAAACTAGTGTTTGATGAAGGGAGCATGGGTCCATGTTAGGTGGTGGCACAACATTGCAGTGGCTGATACTGCAAGAATGGACCCATGTCAGGATGTGAGAGTACAAACTAGTGTTTGATGAAGGGAGCATGGGTCCATGTTAGGTTGTGGCACAACATTGCAGTGGCTGATACTGTAAGAATGGACCCAGGTCAGGATGTGAGATGACATTCCAGTAGTTGATATGATTAACATTACAGGACAAATACCAGACTGTAGTATTACTTTAAGATCATACTCATTAACAAACATCAAAATAAGTGAATTACAAGGGAAAAAGTCAAGTTTCTGTATGTCTGTACAACAATTGTTTGGGTGGAGGTTTCTGGATTGACAGGGTGTCACAGTACTTTCTAATGAAGAACACATTCAGGAAGAAGACCATTGTCTATCAATGTCTGATCAGTGTCAGTAACTCCACTTTCTTCCAACAGCAACATTTATGAATACTATGTTCAATCTAAAGTAAGTGTGTTCTCCATGACCAGTCTCCATAGACTCACCACAATCTCAGTCTTACTGCACACATGTCTGATGTGTCCAGATGTCATCTGTGATCAGTCCTGGTATAAAAACACTCTGCCATCTTGGGATTGCCTCCATGGTGTAGTGGTTAGAGCGTCCGCCCGGAGAGCGGAAGGTCGCGGGTTCGATCCCCGACCACGTCATACCAAAAGACGTTAAAATATGGTACTTGTTGGTCCCTGCCTGGCGCTCGGCATTAATGGGTACAACAAGGACTGGTCGGCTCGGGAGTCAGTATAATGTGTCTGAGTGGGGTATTCATGCTTCACTGCGGCGTGGTATCTCAGTGGGCTAGCACTATAGAACCATCTTAAGTCTGGGTTTGTACAAGCAGCCGCACATACACATACACGCATGCACGTCGTCATATGAGCGAAATATTCTCAAGCATGACGTTAAACCCAATTTCACCTCACCTCTGCCATCTTGGCTGAGTCTTCCATACAGGGCTGATGTTTCCAGATGTCACCTGTGACCAGTCTTGGTTTCCAAACACACCACCATCTCGGTTGGGTCTTCCATACAGAGCTGGTGTGCCCAGATGTCACCTATGACCAATCTTGGTAGCCAGCCATACCTTCATCTTGGTTGAGTCTTCCAAACAGAACTGGTGTGTTCAGATGTCACCAGTGACCAGTCTTGGTAGCCAGACACACCACACTCTTGTCTGAGGCTTCCACATCAGCCTAGCATGTCGAGATGTCACCAGTGACCAGTCTTGGTAGCCAGACACACCACACTGTTGTCTGAGGCTTCCACATCAGCCTAGCATGTCGAGATGTCACCAGTGACCAGTCTTGGTAGCCAGACACACCACACTCTTGTCTGAGGCTTCCACATCAGCCTAGCATGTCGAGATGTCACCAGTGACCAGTCTTGGTAGCCAGACACACCACACTCTTGTCTGAGGCTTCCACATCAGCCTAGCATGTCGAGATGTCACCAGTGACCAGTCTTGGTAGCCAGACACACCACACTGTTGTCTGAGGCTTCCACATTAGTCTAGCATGTCGAGATGTCACCAGTGACCAGTCTTGGTAGCCAGACACACCACACTCTTGTCTGAGGCTTCCACATCAGCCTAGCATGTCGAGATGTCACCAGTGACCAGTCTTGGTAGCCAGACACACCACACTCTTGTCTGAGGCTTCCACATCAGCCTAGCATGTCGAGATGTCACCAGTGACCAGTCTTGGTAGCCAGACACACCACACTGTTGTCTGAGGCTTCCACATCAGCCTAGCATGTCGAGATGTCACCAGTGACCAGTCTTGGTAGCCAGACACACCACACTCTTGTCTGAGGCTTCCACATCAGCCTAGCATGTCGAGATGTCACCAGTGACCAGTCTTGGTAGCCAGACACACCACACTCTTGTCTGAGGCTTCCACATCAGCCTAGCATGTAGAGATGTCACTTGTGTCCAGTCTCTGTTATCAGACTCTCCACCAACATCTGGGCCGAGTCTTCCACGTAGGGCTGATGTATCCATGCAGCAGAGTAGAACATCATTGTTTGCCGGTTCTCTGCATGAGCAACATTTTCAGCAATGGACTTCTTCAGTTTCAGCTCAGAAAGGTACATCTCAATCAGCTGGTCCATTGTAATTACTATAAAGAAAACAAACTATTTCTGAATACACATCAAACAGCATATATCAATCATATCTCTGTTTTTACATTCTCTGCCAAAAAACATTGAGTGTACAAGCAAAAACAAATGCACTTTTCATAATTTTCAGTCAAATTTGTGTTGTCACTTGGACTATTATCAGCCATGCATAGAACACGCAGAATATTAGTAGATGCTGTTTTCTAGTACCCTGGTAACTAAAGTTGCACACTGTTTTAACTGTCACAACTTTATTTCAGCAGTCTGGCAACAGATCCAACCTGTTTTCCCCCAGGTTTCACAAAACATGCTGGTTGTTCTGAAAAATCTTTCTCATCAATTGTGCCTACAATTGTGTTGAACTTCAGTCACAATGCATCAACAAAACCATCAGTATTTATTGTCATGTTCTTAAATTCTCAAACACACTGAAGCAAATGCTGCAAATTGGTATGTAAGCAAAAGAACACATGGGGTAAATTCACCTGGTGATCAGGGATTCAAACCAACTGTCACAGGTGTGACCAAGGGAGGCAACTCTGCACAGCTACACATTCACAGAGTGTGAAAAACTACACAATGTTAGTTCACCTACCAAAATCCTGCACATTCCATGTGTGAAACAAAATGTCGTCCTCCCCACCCTTGTGTTGAGACAGAGCCTGCACACCACACAAGGCAGCCCTCATCTGGTGCAGCTTCCCGACAATCTTCTCCTGGACAACAGCAAGTGGTCACAACTAAAGTTTACATCTGGACAAGGTGAGCTCACACTACAAGACTTCAGATCACACACTGTTTGCTTGATCATTCAGAATAATCATTCTGCTGTCTCAATTTGTTTTCAGAAAAAAGATCAATATATTCATGAAGAAAATATAACAGTTTTCATTCTATTTCGTTTTCAATATCAGTTTGAGAACTTTTACTGGCATTTGCTGCAAATTTGAGGCCAAATATCGGTCTCTCAGCCAGTCTATACAAATCCCAGATCAGTGTATCCACACCTGGGCTGAAGCCTCACCATGTTATGATATACAGAGGTGAGTCTGTCACACAGAGACTCCAGGCTGGCAGGCAGCTGGTTCTCATCAAACTCCTCTCCCTCAACGTTGAACCTGCAAAGGGCAGTAATAATGGGTTATATACAAAAGTTGAACCATTTAAAAGATGTGATGAGTGATACAATTCAGGGCTTCAAGGTGCTGGAAATGAAAGTCCTTGGGATGCAGATCCAGGGACCTCACAAATCTTGTTTTAACTTTATATGGTTTATGACAAGGATTCATTTGATGCCTTGTCCCAACCACTGCATGTACTGTTTCAACAAACAGTTTACTTATCGACACATGTATGTTGTCCATGAAACTGATTGTATTAGAACTATTCAGCTATACCATGGTGGTCTGTTTATCAAGTCTGGGTGAGGAAAACATGTGTTGGACTTCAGCATGGAAGGGGTCGATGCTGCTATGTTATGCTAACAGACATTTAGCCAAGTGACACATTATTACACAGCAAGCATGGGATACATGTCTGCACTGGAGGAAGTGTGTGATTTGGGTTTAACGTTGATGTGAGTGTATTCCAGGCATATCCTGGCAAATCAGCTTGATAAGGGAGACAACTTTACACACTCGACTGTCTTCCCTGAAATAACAGTTGGTAGTTGCACATGTACCTTTGTTTTCTGAAGTGGACACCCAATCCATCACTGTCAATAATCTGAAGTAGCTTGACCACCCATTTTAGCTACTATACATCCTAAGGCCAGATAATATTATTTTTCATCCATAAATGAAAATAAATGGTTTATAGAGACACTTTTCAGCAGTTATTCCTTTGATAAACATAAAGAATTCTCCACTTGGTTGTCAAAACCAGGAACATATGTTCACATTTCTTGATGGTAATTCAAAAGTCCTCACACTTTTTCTATTTTGGTGTTAGCTATTTCACTTATGATGTTGCTTCCTTCAGTATTAAGTTTCTTCCATTTTAAGATTTGATTGTGAACGTCTGCAGCTGTGTCCTTGACCTTCCTTAGTATGCCAGTAAGGTTGCCCTGGTGACGGCCATCGTACTGGGGAACTATAAAAACAAGTATATTTAGTATAAAATTATTTAGTTTACAAAAATGTTTCAACATTTTATTCTTGACTTTCACATTTATTGATCTACAATATAATAACGACATTTCGGAAATCATACATTTTCGAACGACAGTGCCTTCACTGTTTATCGAGTTGTGTTGCGTCATGTGCAGAGACATTGGAATCTTAAATGACAGCTAGGGTTTAGGATAAAGATATCTTTTAAAGGATTGTGGCATGTTTTACAATTGTTCATGCCTTTTTGGACAACAACGTATGTTCTTAAATGTCCGAAACCTGTCTAGTATCGAAACTGGCGGTAAGAGTTTTAAACCCTCGTTATTGAGGGTTACTCGTTCATTCCCAAAGATCGTTGAATACCTGGTGATTTTACGGGCGAAAAGGTTACTTCTTGTTCATCCGTATGTTTTCTATTACTAGTTGACGACTTGGTATTTTCAGCCATAGTATCTCAGCAAATATCACCGGGGAAAATCCTTTTGGAATCGGCCCCCTGTTTCGAAGACTGCCATCAAGAGAAAAACCGGAAACAGTAAAATTGTCTCCCTTTATTGATTGGTGGCGCTTTTTACAACATGGCTGCGCCCATGAAAACAAACGTGAAACACTTTTGTTGTTGACAGCCCTAATCATCAGAAGAAACAGTAGAACATGTAAATGACAGTTTTGACTTTCCACGTCGTGGGACGTTTACGTGTAATTCTAATTGATTTTAATTGATTTTCTGCTTGAGTGAGTACATAATGTTGTGGAACTTTGAAGAGCACGTCAATGTCAAACTTGGCAATCACAAAATTGCGTGGGTCGATATGGTGTCATTGGCCCTTCAGTTAACCGGGTAGCTGATGTGGCGAAAGCTTCACCAAAAAGAGGAAATGTGAATCAGTCGAATGCATTTCTTACTGCCATGTAACACAAGGCGACATGGCTACAATCCTTCCAACTGCAATTGCCTTTAAAGGCAACATATATACTTCGCTTGAAAAAGTATATTAGTTAGATCTACGTTCTAAATATAATAACCGCAGACGGGGCAGTATTTATTTATATGTGCATAACTGTAAATTATATGGATATGTGTTAGATGTCTGATTTAGTGTCACTTAATGTGTCTGATACCATTTACTCTCACAGTATTAATAAGGGCTAAAGCTAAGCAGGTATTTGAATGGCATTAAGAAGTGATACCCATAAGGAAGGGAGGTTTTTTTTATGAATGTCAACTTCTTTATTATGAGGAACACAACGTTTCAGAGTATATCCATACTCCTCCCTTTTCAAATTGGCCATAAAACATCAAAGTCAAAATGGCCACAAACCCCTAGTCAAAATGGCCATAGACAAAGTCAAAATGGCCATAGACAAAGTTAAAATGGCCATACATTATTCTTTTATTTTTCAATACTCAGAACATTTTCCCATATTGTAATATTTAATATCAAGGTGTTAAAATGACAAAAGAAGTTATATCAGGCAAAACTACTCATCAACAAATCATATTTTCAACAAATAACAAGACATATATATATAGGTTCTCTCTTCATGTGCATGCACTTTTGTACTATTTACTACTACATGACATCCATGTAGATCAGTTACATCAAGTCAGAAACAGTTCATTCCACACAAGCAGAGCAGTTCCACAGGTCTCAGCTTTCCGTCCTTGTAGAGACGCCAGGCTGCGAATACCTCCTAACAATTAATTGATCAGTTATGGCTTTATTAGTTAACGAGGCACTTCTGGATTCACATCTTAATTAAGGTTACACAATGTATGTAATCACATGTTGATTAGTAATTAAAGAAGCCAATTAAAGGATAAGCAGTCATCTTTTTAATACCTATGCATCTTACCTTCATCTTCACTTGTGCCTCCTGAAGTTTACCAGGCTGTATGGCCATTGGGATGGTAGTGTGGTGAAGAGCCCTCAGTAAAGGTGTCCTGGTCACTTATTGTCATGTTATGAAAACATTACTCAATGATCAAAGGGTCTTATAATAACATCTAAAAGTATTTATTAAGAAAGCATTGCGAGAGTAATTAAACAGCTCAAAGTATTACATAAGAAAACATCTCAAAGTAAAAGATAAAAAACATCTCAAAATATTAAATAAGTAACAATATCAAAGTATGAATTAAGAAAGCATTTCAAAAACAATACTTATTAATATGAAAAAAAATAATGTATGTACATTTTGACTTTTTCTATTCATAAATGTGAGATGTTAACTTCAGTTAATATCCTGCTATTTTCATTTACAGATAAGAGATCTGGAACTTTCATGATGCTAGTGCCTGAAATGATTTTACCTGTTATCAAACAATGTCTTGCACGGGTTGTCAGCCAGTCTCGATGTAGACTCCTGAATACTGCACAATGCATACCCTGTAGTCGATGTCCACAGCGGAAACTTCACTCTGATGGTAAAGAACAAGTCCCCCAAGCTTGGCAGGAATCATTTCATCTAGCACCTCCACAACTAGATCTTCAATATCTCTGCAATCCTCAAAATACAGAACAAATTCATCAAAATATTGTCAACAGAAAAGGTGTTGGGGATATTCATAAGGTGGTATGTGGTTATCTCTTCCTGAAACTAGTCAATTATGCAAGCTCCCAGTGGTGATGAGAGTACATCATCCACTTTTAATAAAAAGAAACTAGTTTGGATTGGTGATGAGGCTCTGTGGTCACTTTGGCTGACTGCATTTACATTGTGCTATAAAGATGTGGATTATACCCACATTTTCAAGCACTGGTTCATCTGGTCAAGACATCAGGCCTCATGTATACAACTGTGACATTATGCAACTTTCACTCGCTGGATTCCACCAGTCATTAAAATTTATTCAATATATTCCCAGTCTCATTCAAATGAAATCTTTTACTCTTAAGAAATTTGCAGACAAGTAAACATTTAATCAGCTGATCAGCATTGACACTCAAATTTCAAAGTGATTCATTCTAACCATCATATTTAACTTTGTCTCTCAGTACTGAATGTATATAATAAACACTTGAACATTTCATCTTCACCCAGAATTGAATGGACAGGTCTTGAAGCCTGACTGTATATATTCTTCCTTCCAGGTGTCCTTGTGGCAGGAATATAACAAGACCACTGAGGTATGTGCTTGTAAACCTGAAATTGTGATGAAATGACAACAGATGAAATTTGTTTGTTTGATAAAAGGCTTTGCAATACTTATCTAATGTGCATTTCCGTCATATGACACTCAAAATGGAATGGTTAAGTTTGATCCATTGACTCCTTATCTATCTGATCTATGGTTGTCTGATATGGTTCAAAACAAACAGTGATTTCAAAAGGCCCTTGCCATAACCCTGTTTGTCCCTGTGAGATTTTCATCACCACCCACCACTCATCATTGTTTCCTAACAGTTGAAGACAATTACTGTGTGCACACATCTTTTTAATTTGACTAAATGAATCATTTAACATAACCAGACAATCATGCTTCATATGAATGACATCTCTCAACAGTACACAGATGCCTTCAGCAGTTTTATAGATTTAGATATAAAGTATAGTAAACTACAGTTATACAAATGTCTCAAAGTGACCACTAATTCTGGTTTTGTTGTAACAGTGGTTCATTATATTCATTTCTACTAAAATATTCACCAAGTGACTGTGAACTAAAATAGTTGAGTATATCCTTCATGTTGTTATGAGCATGTTCATCATATATGTAGTTTACTGTATAGTCTGTTTGCAGTGAAAACGTACCGGTGAATTTCACTTTAAACAAAAATGTAAATCGAATAAAGTGAAATTAAGATTGCGAATCCTCATAATTCAATCTTTCCATTTGAAAATTTAAATCTTAGATTTGTATTCAACTTGGGGAAAAAGTTGTTTAACAAACGATCATAGTTTCAAATCGCTTATATTTGTTTGTAATACAAGGGGGTAAGCTCAGTAGTTGGAACAGTGAAACAAATGCACGTGCGGTACGTGATGAGCGTTAACTTAGACCAACCCTCCTTGTTCTCGGTGTTTCATTTAATGTGCATACCCCCTTGTAATACAAACCAATAATACCAACGTGAAACTATGATCGTTTGTTAAACAACTTTTATCCTAAGTTGAATAAAATTCTGAGATTTAAATTTACAAATGGCAAGGTAAAATTATGAGGATTCAATCTTAATTTCACTTTATTTGATTTACTTTTTTGCTTAAAGTGAAATTCATCGGTACGTTTTCACCGCAAACAGTCTATAGTCTTAACTGAAATGTCAACAGTCTCATATTTTAAAAATGTTGATGAATGTTTGTCTGAGTAATTAATGTAACTGTAACCAGTTTGCTAGTTTGCATGGCAAGAATGGTAAGAACTAGTACTTTTTAAGAACTAATACTTTGAACTACAGGCTGACTACAAGAGGAAAGTATGGAAGCAGCTGATCGCAGCAGCTCAGGACATCCCCAATACAAGCCACCCCACTTCAGTGAGTGGCCTCTCATCTCTGTGTCTAGATATATATAATGGTGCAACATTATATGTAGTCCCTGTAGGTAATCCAGGTGGAATCTACTGCCAGCTACCAGGGCTCCAGATAATTTTTTAACATCAGGAGTACGTATACTCCTTACTTTTTCAATATACAAGTACTGGAATACCGTAGGAGTACATTTAGAGTACTGATGGAACTTAATGGAGTATCAGTAATCATGTGTTTCGTTTCAAATATGCACCATAACATTGCTACTCTTGTGTAAACAGGTCAATAAACAATAAAACAATACTTGTTCAGATAAATACATCTGTAAATGATTCTAAGACCGTACACCATTGCTGTGGTGTGTATCTGCTTCGTTTTCTAAATTATTTCCTACCGTATCGTGCATATTTTTTATCCATACATTCGCCGCTATGGCCCTTATCCGGAGCTTTGAGCTACTTATGCTGGTGTTGAGAGGTCAGGTTGCTTTGGGTTTTCAGACTGGTTGATGGCATGTCCTCGTACTCTGACAACAGGAATCAACAGGAGTTTTGATTAAAATTTTAGTCCAGATTCAATTATTTACAGGATACACTTAATTAGCGAGAATATTGTTTTGTGCTGGCATTAAAGAACAAACAAACAAGTATAACATGTAGTGTTCACCTGTTTTACAACACTCTCTTTACAGAAACACTGTTATATTGTCAATTTGTGTTAATTGTTTAATTGAAATACCAGGAATCAAATATACAGAACCTTACAACACTCTGAAAGTTTGTACTGGTATATTTGTGTGTTATATATGTATATACAGTGGAAGCTGTCTAAACTGGCACACGTCGGGACTGAAAAAACAATCCGGTTTCGACAGCGTGCCGGATTGTAGAGCTGACACGGTTACCTACAACTAGAACTAAACCAGTTTTATCTCAATTTTCTCTCAATTTCTCTCTCAACTCATTAATTACATGTACAAGTACACCCATACTGAACTAAGATAAAATTATCTTTGTCGGCAACCATGTAGTTTCAACACAGGATTACTGACTCCTTGCCACGCGCCGGATTAGACAGCGCTGATTACTGTATAAACACATATTCGGGCTGCTCATTTCATGCCAAGATCCGGAATTGACAACTGCTGGGTTGCAGAGCTTTTAAATGATGATAAATGTACTAGCCATGGACAGGACTGAGATTTTATACCGATGTTGACAGGCGTGCCGGATTGGACAGCTGCCGGTTTTGACAGCTTCCACTGTATATTTATAGATTGAAGACTCTAAGGATGTTTTCTTTGATAAGGTTTTTTTTATTGATTATCATTTATGTCTCTAGCCAATCGGTGATGAGGATCAAGCTAGAGTAGTCTCCCTTGTTGGCACAAAGCGAGGTAAGATGGGCTACTGTTACCAGTTACATCTATCAGAATTTAACTGCTATCAAGTTATGAAGCATTACATCATCCAACTGAGATAACTTGATAGTTCATGTACTGTCAAACAGTCCTTAATTTATGTGAATTTACTTCTCTGAACTAAACAGAACAATGTTTGTTTTGTACTTTCAGAGTTTGACTTCAAACCAAAGACAGTGGTTGAACTGGGTGACGAGTTGGGATTACTGAGAACCGAGTAGGTGTTATGTTATTTGTGAAACTCGAATCACAGTAACTCATGATTATAATAGAATCATTTTACAGATATTAGTGCTTCATCTCGTTTTTGATTAAAGGATCTCATCAGGGATGCCTACGAGTATCTATTTGATGCATCACTATGATATAAGCACATACCTCTGTTGATATGCTAAGGTTAAGTGTTTTATGATCTGACAAAACCAATGGCAAGTTATTTTGTGATAATTTTGTTATAATTCAGTACTGTTTGTCATATTTCTTCATGAAATATTGAGGCCTTCCTGTTCGTCACCTCTTACGACCAGCGTTTGTCCTCACCGGGACCTTCAACAGGCTATGGTACAATCAAGTTACTCCTGATATTTGGTATAATTCCATACTGCCCATATTCTCATGATGTCTTTGTGAGCTAATAATGAGAGTTTTGTCCACAGCAATGTCTCCATGACAACCGGTGAGAGGACATACTACTTGAAGGATGAGTTGGCGAGGCTGGAGCAGGCTTTGATTCAGTACACAGTAGACAGGGTCAGACTGAAGGTACAGCATGGCAGCTTAGTATCCTGTATCACTGTGTAAATGTATGTATTACAGGGGGCGGTGGGGTAGCCTTGTGGTTAAAGCGTTGGCTCGTCACGCTGAAGACCCGGGTTCGAATCCCCACATGGGTACAATGTGTGAAGCCCATTTCTGGTGTCCCCCCGCCGTGATGTTGCTGGAATATTGCTAAAAGCAGCGTAAAACCAAACTCAGTCAGTCAGTCAGTATGTGTTACATGTAACCTTCAGCTTAATGTCTCCTTTTGTGTTTGTATGTTGTTTAACGACTCACTCACTCTGCATTATACCTGCTACATGATGATGGCCTGCATATAATCAAGTCTGAACCAGACAATCCAGTGATCATTATTAAGAGTAATTATCAGTGCAGTGAGGTATAAGGACGTACAATCAGCCAAGTCACTGCATTACCGTATCCACACATTGCTGGGCAGTTATTCTGACTGCAATCACTAAGGGCAAGTCTATGGTTAAAGTGTACGCTTGTCAGAAGCCCAGTTTCTAATGCCCAAGTGGGTACAATGCATGAAGCCATTTCTAGTGAACTCTGCTGTGAAACTGCTGTAATATTGCTGAAAGTATCACAAAAAACATACCCACTCACCTCCTCAATGCTGGAAGAAAAAGAACTTGTTAAGTTTTGTTAAGTTTATGCTGTTGAAATTGGAGCTCTGAAATCCAGAGTTATGAAATGTCATAGCTTAGACCGAGAACACTGGTTAATTCATCACTTTTAGGTGACAAATGTTTACTTTATAGCAATTTGATTGACCATTTATCCTTCTTGTAGTCCATATAGTAACAGTCTCAGTTGTTGTCTCACAGGGATTCCAGTTGGTGACGGTGCCTGATATGATTCACCCAGCAGTCATTGTGAGTAACAATAGCAGTCAGGGGTGTATGTAGCCCAGTTGTCTAATATGCTAAAGAGATTTGCAGGGTTGCATCCCTTGGTTCAGCCAGGAAACTATGATCATGGGTTTGAATCCTTGTTTGCCCAGATTACCTTTTAAGGTTTTTCAGCGCCATGTTTTGGGTTTCACCAAAATGGTTTGTGGCACTTTCCTCCCATATGAAGCAGACAGGCTGTGATATACCTGGAATACTGTTCAAGCAGTGTTTAACTCACCCGTGTTCCACATTTGCAGTTATTATGAGTTACATTAGTCATTCCTAGGGTTGTAATGGCAGTTGTAACACTGGCAAAATTAGTGGACAGTCACAAGGAGATTGTGATAACTGTCATCTTATCCATATGTCCTGTCAGTTATTGATATTTGCAGTGATACTTGCATGTCTGTTGTGTTAAAACATGGGGTGTTGTCTGCTTAAGGTCAGAACCATATTGATCTCAGCATTCACTGGTTCTTTTCAGTATAGTCTGTTTAATCTAGCAGGTCAATTACATTGTAAATCTCAGGAATTGTGTATTCAACTAAGTTACTTTAAAGTTTAATCTCCCCTTCTCAAGGAGAGCTGTGGATTCAAGACATCAGGGGAGAGAACTCAGGTATACAAGCTGGACCCTGACAAACATGGCGATGTCTGTCTTGCAGGAACGTCCGAGATGCCTCTGGCAGGTCAGTTTTGATGCTGTTCAGTTTGGCAAGGCAGGGTCATGTTTAATTCATTACCAGTTCTTGCTTTCTATTTGTGTCTAGTTGAAGTGTGTGCCCACCAATGTTGTAGTTATAAAATAAACCAGGGACTGATCTCATGAGTAACATCCCATGGTGTCAGGATACAATGACAGGCAGGCCTTCAAGTCACCAAGTCTGATCACCTCATCCATTTAGTTGCCTTGGATGACCAGTTTGAAGACACTGCAGGGTTTGTTGTTTAGACGACTGAAACATATGTCAAATAGTGAGTTAACATATCACTGCAGTCCCCCATTGTCCAGCTGCAGTCTTCAAAAAGTAAGAAACTCACAGGTGGTGACATTAGTTATCCCCACTCCAACTGGTATCCTATTCAGGATGTTGTTATTCGGCTATCTATGTATGTTTATGCTTGTGTTCATTGTTAATCATCTTGTTTTATCATCCATTGTCTTTATTAGCCCTCGTATACCCTATATATATCCTGCTGTACTCATTCCCCATATCATGCTTGAAAACGGTATAAGTATCTATACCGAAATGTCGCAATTGTACAATAAAGAAGTTGATCATCCATAAACACTTGTCATTCCTATTGCTTACAACTTCTAGAATGCCTCTCAAACAGTTCATACAGGTTACATTATTTAACAAAAAGGAAATTTAATTAATGGAAAATATTGCATGTTGCACTCTTACTCAAATGTCTGATAAATTTTATCTGTTATTTTCAGGATATTTCATGAATGAGGAACTGCAGTTAGATCAGCTTCCAGTAAAGTAAGTCTGGAGTCATTAAGCAATGCCTATAATTGGGACTACTTGAGCTCAACAGGTGTAATTTCTTTACTTGCGTGTGCACTTATAAGAGATGTTAGAGACTCAAGTTCTTTAGGTCAAAAGTAGTAGAGGTCAAATTATAAAACATGGTTCAAGTTTTTAAAAATAATGAGAAAACCCATGAAGAATCGGTTGAGAAGAACTCTAAGCATCTTAGTCAACTTGCATTTCATGATCATGTCAGAAGTCATGGTCGCTTTCAAGGTCATTCACTCTTGAAATGACTTAAATAGGAAGGAAATTTTGGTAGCATCATATGGACACATCCTATTTGTAACACAACCTAATTAGCAAGAAAATAATGGTCTCACTTGCGATTGTATGACTTGTGCATTTTCAATTAAAATGTGATGAAAAATTCAATATAGATACTGTCTAGGCTGTCCAGGACTGAAATTGATGATCAAGATCAATATATGGAAGTGCTTCTAACTTTACCATTGAGATAGCCAGAGGCATGAGACCTTTTCTTCCCCTTCTGTTGTCATGTTTTACAACTTTTGTTGCCTCTGCTTTTGCTGACCCGTGAAGGTCCAGGTTAGAATATTGATCTTCAGTAACCCATGTTTGTCGTAAGAGGCGACTATCGGGATCGGGTGGTCAGGCTCGCTGACTTGGTTGACACATGTCATCGGTTCCCAATTGCACAGATCGATGCTCATGCTGTTGATCACTGGATTGTCTGGTCCAGACTCGACTATTTACAGATCGCCGCCATATAGCTGGAATATTGCTGAGTGTGGCGTAAAACTAAACTCACTCTGCTTTTGCTATTCAAAAGCTTTTTTGTTAAGGTAGATAGAGGCACAAGACTTTTTGTTTTGAAGATGTTTATTCTGAATCAGGCATGCGTGAGGTCAACTATCACCTGATTATATAAAGTTAAAAATGTACATGATACATGTTTCTGATGGGAAGGATTTGGGGCATTAGGACAGGGTAGGGATGGGACTCTATACATTACCAGACACTGTTTTACATGTAATGTAAACACCTTCCTTAATACAAGAACATGTTTTATAGTTTGACCATACTCTCAAAAGTCACAATTTGTCTCTGTAAACATCTAACCTGGTCATCCTGCTGAAATATCCAGACTGAGAGAATTGAAATTTGACATGAATGATTCTCTTTTTATGGCATCATATTGAGTATGAAACCTTAAGAATTTTCTTCAGTTTTAGAATTCAGTATTTGTGATAAAAATATTGAAATATCAGTGCTACCTACAAAGTTTTTATGGAGTCTGTCTCTGTTGGCATTTCAAACTTTTGGCTACATGTCCAGGTGAGCTACAGTGATCTTGCAACCCGTGAAAATACGGGTTAGAATTGATCTTCGTAACCCATGCTTGTTGTAAAAGGAGGGATCGGGTTGCGTAGATGGATGTTCATGCTTTTGATCACTGGATTGTCTGGTCCAGACTCGATTATTTACAGACTGCCACCATATAGCTGGAATATTGGTGAGTGCGGTGCAAAACTAAACTAACTCACTCACTCACTCACTTCAGTGAGATTGCCCTTTTTTGGTCCTGGTGCAACAAGCTTTGCACTTGAACACGCACCTGGTGAAGGTAAACTAAAGATTATTTTATAGAACCTGATGTGTTTCTTCGTTTTGTTTTGGTAACTCTTGTAACTGCAGCTTATATATACTGATTGATATATATAGTATTGTTTGTGTGTAGATTGACGTCAATCAGCCGATGTTATCGAGCTGAGACGTCCGAGTTGCAGGAAGAGAAGGGCATCTACAGAGTGCATCAGTTTACTAAGGTATGACATAGTACTGTTGAGTGATGCTCACCATCGCTGAATACCATATAATGCTACTCACCATCGCTCAGTACCATATAATGCTACTCACCATCACTCAGTGCCATATAATGCTACTCACCATCGCTCAGTACCATATAATGCTACTCACCATCACTCAGTACCATATAATGCTACTCACCATCACTCAGTACCATATAATGCTACTCACCATCGCTCAGTACCATATAATGCTACTCACCATCGCTCAGTGACATATAATGCTACTCACCATCGCTCAGCACCATATAATGCTACTCACCATCACTCAGTGACATATAATGCTACTCACCATCGTCAGTACCGTATAATGCTACTCACCATCGCTCAGTGCCATATAATGCTACTCACCATCGCCAGTACCGTATAATGCTACTCACCATTGCTCAGTGACATATAATGCTACTCTCACCATCGCCAGTGACATATAATGCTACTCACCATCGCTCAGTACCATATAATGCTACTCACCATCGCCAGTGCCATATAATGCTACTCACCATCGCCAGTACCATATAATGCTACTCACCATCGCTCAGTGACATATAATGCTACTCACCATCGCTCAGTGCCATATAATGCTACTCACCATCGCTCAGTGCCATATAATGCTACTCACCATCGCTCAGTACCATATAATGCTACTCACCATCGCTCAGTGCCATATAATGCTACTCACCATCGCTCAGTGCCATATAATGCTACTCACCATCGCTCAGTACCATATAATGCTACTCACCATCGCTCAGTACCATATAATGCTACTCACCATCGCTCAGTACCATATAATGCTACTCACCATCGCTCAGTGCCATATAATGCTACTCACCATCGCTCAGTACCATATAATGCTACTCACCATCACTCAGTACCATATAATGCTACTCACCATCGCTCAGTACCATATAATGCTACTCACCATCGCTCAGTACCATATAATGCTACTCACCATCGCCAGTGACATATAATGCTACTCTCACCATCGCTCAGCACCATATAATGCTACTCACCATCGCTCAGTGACATATAATGCTACTCACCATCGCTCAGTACCGTATAATGCTACTCACCATCGCTCAGTGCCATATAATGCTACTCACCATCGCTCAGTACCGTATAATGCTACTCACCATTGCTCAGTGACATATAATGCTACTCACCATCGCTCAGTGACATATAATGCTACTCACCATCGCTCAGTACCATATAATGCTACTCACCATCGCTCAGTGCCATATAATGCTACTCACCATCGCTCAGTACCGTATAATGCTATTCACCATTGCTCAGTGACATATAATGCTACCAGTGACATATAATGCTACTCACCATCGCCAGTGACATATAATGCTACTCACCATCGCTCAGTGACATATAATGCTACTCACCATCGCTCAGTGCCATATAATGCTACTCACCATCGCTCAGTGACATATAATGCTACTCACCATCACTCAGTACCATATAATGCTACTCACCATCGCTCAGTACCATATAATGCTACTCACCATCGCTCAGTGACATATAATGCTACTCACCATTGCTCAGTACCATATAATGCTACTCACCATCGCTCAGTACCATATAATGCTACTCACCATCGCTCAGTGCCATATAATGCTACTCACCATCGCTCAGTGACATATAATGCTACTCACCATTGCTCAGTACCATATAATGCTACTCACCATTGCTCAGTGCCATATAATGCTACTCACCATCGCTCAGTACCGTATAATGCTACTCACCATTGCTCGGTGCTACTTAATTCACAATTCGAAACCTGTTGGATTGTGTCATAATGCCCTGCTTGTGTTGACTGTTTTTGCTGCTAGAAGTCAGTGCTTTTCATCTATTTATTTTCAGGATCCTGTGACATACTATTGCTAGCATTGGCATAAAACAACATTCATTTGCCTCCCCAGAACATTCAATCATATATACCAGTATACCAGTATACAAAATGAGTTGTTAATGATATACATGTATTTTGAAAACTCTTGATACTGTGACAGCAAACCAGTCTGCAGTACATAACACATCTTTATGGTCAGGTGGAGTTGTTTAGTGTAAGCAGCTGTGAAGATGGCAGAGAGAGTGACAGTCTGCTGGAGGAAATCCTGGATCTACAGAAGAACCTTTTTACTGATCTCGGACTGCACTTCAGGTAAAAGAACATTTGTGGGATTTGTTGTTTAAAGGTCACATGCAACCAAAAAATCAAACATAATTAAAACACAATTATTACTTCTTCATGACATATAATATGCATTAAAGTGCAATATTTTGTACTTGGTTTACTCTCCTCGAAACGAAGCAGCCGGGATGTCGAACCCAGTCAGAGCGGTGGTGTGCACTCATTAACGGCTGGTTCATTAGCAGATGATTGCTTCACGCTCATTGTGTGTGTATATATAGAGATGTTGGGTTTGTAAATACATGCTCATTTTTGTGTATAACATTTTGCAATCAACAGACATCATAACATGTCATGTGTTCAAGTATCACACCTGCCTGTCTGTGTGAATTACATAATGTGACAGAGATCCAACTCGGCCATAAATCATGCTTTTGTTTATGGCGATAGCCTGATTGGTGTTAAGTTCGAATTGCATGTGGTCAGTGATAGCAGGTGTGTATTGAATATTGTCATTAGCAGACAGGCAGGCAGACACACAGGTGTCAATAAACAAGACATTGAGTTTTGTCTGTGACAACGACATATCTATATCACAGTTGGAAATTCTGTCAAGGCTAAATAATGACATTGCTTTTAAGTTGCATCGATTTTTTCATTATGTTTGGTTGATGAATGATTGGGTGTTGGTTGATGTGTGAATCTACATTGGGTGTTGGTTGATGAATGATTTGGTTGGACTGTTGGTTGATGAATGATTGGGAGTTGGTTGATGAATGATTGGGTGTTGGTTGATGAATGATTTGGGAGTTGGTTGATGAATGATTGGGTGTTGGTTGATGGTTGATGTCTGATTGGGAGTTGGTTGATGAATGATTGGGTGTTGGTTGATGAATGATTGGGAGTTGGTTGATGAATGATTGGGTGTTGGTTGATGAATGATTGGGTGTTGGTTGATGAATGATTGGGTGTTGGTTGATGAATGATTGGGATGTTGGTTGATGAATGATTGGGTGTTGGTTGATGAATGATTGGGTGTTGGTTGATGAATGATTGGGTTGGTTGATGAATGATGATTGGTTGAGATTGGGTGATGTTGATGAATGATTGGGTGTTGGTTGATGAATGATTGGGTGTTGGTTGATGAATGATTGGGTGTTGGTTGATGAATGATTGGGTGTTGTTGATGAATGATTGATTGATTGGGTGTTGGTTGATGAATGATTGGGAGTTGGTTGATGAATGATTGGGTGTTGGTTGATGAATGATTGGGAGTTGGTTGATGAATGATTGGGTGTTGGTTGATGAATGATTGGGAGTTGGTTGATGAATGATTGGGAGTTGGTTGATGAATGATTGGGGGTGATTGATGAATGATTGGGTGTTGGTTGATGAATGATTGGGTGTTGGTTGATGAATGATTGGGTGTTGGTTGATGAATGATTGGGAGTTGGTTGATGAATGAAGCACAGTAGGTTGATGTTTGATAGGTAGCACTGATAAACACAAAGTATGTCCAGGTTTCACTGATTGTGATTTGTTGACCCTGTAGAATCTTGGACATGCCAACTCATGAGCTGGGAGCCCCAGCCTACAGGAAGTATGACATCGAAGCCTGGATGCCAGCAAAACAGTTCTGGGGAGAGGTAGACAAGATATTGTTTTATCTATACAGCGTGCAGTTGAAGACAGTAAACTTCAATTTATTATCATTAGTAACCTTTTATTTGTACATCAAGTAGCCAGAACACACACAATAGACTGTGCGGGGTTTTAGTTCACCTCATTAGGATGAGAAAGCCACAATAACTCAGTGCGCCTAGGGAGTTGAGATTGATAATACGATGTGCCGTTGAGATTGACATCCAATGATCGAGGGAAAAACATACCAGTGCCTTGAGCATGCACTAGTTGCGTGGATATGTGCGCTATGTAAATATCCTATAATAATAACATAATAATAATAATGATGTGTTCACATTGCTGTGACATTGACATAATTGGGATCTTAGAACAAACCAGTGGAATTGATCATAAGTAATACTGTAAATCAATAAAATAACGCGAGCTACTTATTAATGCGAAAAATGAGACTATGTCTGAAGCGCATTAATAAATCTCGCATTATTATATTGTCTTTTGCACTCGATATCGTTATTGCTAGTATTTGGGTCACGATAACCCAGTGAACAAAGATGAACGATTGATTCACAAAAATTCCTTTATTGACACAATAACATCAACATTATATTCCAGTATTTGCCAAAGTTGTGAGTGTAGTCATTAGTGAGTATAGTCATTCTGATCAACCATTTCCTGATTTGCCTCCTCGCATTAATAAATGTACGCATTTTTGTTTTGAGGTTTGCACTCGCATTATTTAATACACGCATTAGTTTGTTGATTTACAGTATATGCTTGTTTGTAAGAGTCATCTAAAATGGATGAAGTGGGCCGATTTGCTCATTGTAGCCCTGTGGATTGTTGTTTCTTCTGGTCCAGACTCGATGATCTACAGGATATGGTAATACAGCTGGAATGATGATGCTGTGTCACACCTGTGATGTTGCTATTACTTCCTGTCTCCCCAGATTTCTAGTTCCTCCAGTTGCACGGACTACCAGAGCCGCCGTCTCCACATCAAGTACAAGGGGCAGGACGGCCATCTCAAACATGTCCACACAGTGAGCAGTCACGACATCTCTGATTAAACTGTTTACTGACACCCATGTCATTTTTCCCAGCTCAATTTCTATATTTATCATACTTTTCAACCTATAAACATATGCCAAGCTATTCTGATATAGAATGCATGTGAATACAATATATTGAGAATGTGACCAAAATGGCAAGCTATTCTGATATAGAATGCATGTGAATACAATATATTGAGAATGTGACCAAAATGGCAAGCTATTCTGATATAGAACATATGTGAATACAATACATTGAGAATGTGACCAAAATGGCAAGCTATTCTGATATAGAATGCATGTGAATACAATATATTGAGAATGTGACCAAAATGGCAAGCTATTCTGATATAGAATGCATGTAAATGCAATATATTGAGAATGTGACCAAAATGGCAAGCTATTCTGATTTAGAATGCATGTGAATACAATATATTGAGAATGTGACCAAAATAGCAAGCTATTCTGATATAGAATGTATGTGAATACAATATATTGAGAATGTGACCAAAATGGCAAGCTATTCTCATTTAGAATGCATGTGAATACAATATATTGAGAATGTGACCAAAATGGCAAGCTATTCTGATATAGAATGCATGTGAATACAATATATTGAGAATGTGACCAAAATGGCAAGCTATTTTGATATAGAATGCATGTGAATACAATATATTGAGAATGTGACCAAAATGGCAAGCTATTCTGATATAGAATGTATGTGAATACAATATATTGAGAATGTGCAATATATTGAGAATGTGACCAAAATGGCAAGCTATTCTGATATAGAACATGCATGTAAATACAATATATTGAGAATGTGACCAAAATGGCAAGCTATTCTGATATAGAATGTATGTGAATACAATATATTGAGAATGTGACCAAAATGGCAAGCTATTCTGATATAGAATGCATGTAAATTAAATATATTGAGAATGTGACCAAAATCGCAAGCTATTCTGATATAGAACATATGTGAGTGATACAATACATTGAGAATGTGACCAAAATGGCAAGCTATTCTGATTTAGAATGCATGTGAATACAATATATTGAGAATGTGCCCAAAATGGCAAGCTATTCTGATATAGAACATATGTGAATACAATACATTGAGAATGTGACCAAAATGGCAAGCTAGTTCTGATTTAGAAAATGCATGTGAATACAATATATTGATTGAATGTGCCTAAAATGGCAAGCTATTCTGATATAGAACATATGTGAATACAATATATTGAGAATGTGATCAAAATGGCAAGCTATTTTGATATAGAATGCATGTGAACACAATATATTGAGAATGTGACCAAAATGGCAAGCTATTCTGATATAGAATGCATGTGAATACACTATATTTAGAATGTGACCAAAATGGCAAGCTATTCTGATATAGAATGCATGTGAATACAATATATTGAGAATGTGACCAAAATAGCAAGCTATTCTGATATAGAATGTATGTGAACACAATATATTGAGAATGTGACCAAAATGGCAAGCTATTCTGATATAGAATGCATGTGAATACAATATATTGAGAATGTGACCAAAATGGCAAGCTATTCTGATATAGAATGTATGTCAACACAATATATTGAGAATGTGACCAAAATGGCAAGCTATTCAGATATAGAACATATGTAAATACAACCTATTGAGAATGTGACCAAAATGGCAAGCTATTCTGATATAGAACATATGTAAATACAATGTATTGAGAATGTGGTAGAGGTACTAATCATTATTAATATAGTTTCTGTATCCTGAGCTTATTAAGAGATAAGATGACATCCAAGACAGACGCAAATGGTCCCAGCAAGTTGTTCAAAATAGCATGTCAATGTGACATACAAGGTAATCAGCATGAGACTATACTGAGAATACCTCGTGTTTGTAGGTGAACGGCACGGCGTGCGCTGTTCCCAGGATGATCATGGCCGTCATGGAGAACAACCAGAACAAAGTAGGTCACATGGCTGACACCATCACCAGTTTTAAATATCTACAGGAAAAATATGTCAAATGATGATGTCCCATTCCATGGACAGACAATCCCGATTGTGGACATCTTGATGACATTCCATCTTAACAACACCATTCCAGTATGAATAATTGGTGTATGTCAGTGATTTCACAAAAAAACAATGTCATGTAAGGGCAGTGCTTGTCATGCTAAAAACCTTGCTTTTATTTTCCACATTGATGTTTGTGGCCCATTTGGATCCGGTTACCTACATTCCATGTTTACCATTGTGTAGAATATCCATACCAAATTGTTTGGTTATATTCATGCCACATACATTATCAAACACAGTTTGCTTGGCAAATTGTTTGCTTTTATCTTGCATGTTGTATTAAGTTTCGAGAAAGTATAATCCTAAATATAACATATTTATCTGCAAGTTTGTATTTGTATTTGATCCTCACTATCAATTCAGTCAAGATATTGAATAATATGCAGTTATTGCCTATATTCTCTGTAATCACTGAATCATAGAAAGTTTCAGTTTCTCAAGTATATAACATGTTTGTTGCTAGGATGGGTCTGTCAGTCTCCATAGAAAGTTTCAGTTTCTCAAGTATATAACATGTTTGTTGCTAGGATGGGTCTGTCAGTCTCCATAGAAAGTTTCAGTTTCTCAAGTATATAACATGTTTGTTGCTAGGATGGGTCTGTCAGTCTCCATAGAAAGTTTCAGTTTCTCAAGTATATAACATGTTTGTTTGCTAGGATGGGTCTGTCAGTCAGTTTCAGTTTCTCAAGTATATAACATGTTTGTTGCTAGGATGGGTCTGTCAGTCTCCATAGAAAGTTTCAGTTTCTCAAGTATATAACATGTTTGTTGCTAGGATGGGTCTGTCAGTCTCCATAGAAAGTTTCAGTTTCTCAAGTATATAACATGTTTGTTGCTAGGATGGGTCTGTCAGTCTCCCGGAAGTCCTGTGGCCCTACATGAGGACAGAAGTCATCACCAAGTCAAACAACATGCAACCTCACTGGATCAGACTGAAAAAGATCAAGTCAAAGAAATAAATGTTTTATTCGTAAAGATGTTTCTGGGTAATGTTTGGCACTAACATGAAACTCAACATCCAGATGTTTGTCTGCTGGTATGTGATGCTCACATCATATGCCATCATCAATCCTCATCCATCCAACTAAATCGTAATCATCATCATGATGTTGGAGGCACAGGTAGCCTTTAGTCTAAAGTGCCGTAATCTGTGCTCTTATTCTCAAACGTTCGTAACCCTAAGAATTCTAAACTTTGATCGTAGCCAATGTGTTAGGGATGGACTTAAGAAGTTCCTAGGGCTACGAACGTTTTGAGAATAGCTAGACTGCTGTGCCAAATTGGTGACTTGGGCATGCTAGAAACTGGTGATTGTGGGTTCAAATTCCTGTTCACTATGATTATCATCCTCCCGGCATGTAATGCAGGTGGATATAGTCGACGCTTCATCTGTCCATAATCATTTTGTTTCAGGAGCTTAACTAAAAATTATTGAATATTTTTCAATAAAAATTGGTCGATATATCAACAATCCAGTGATCAACAGCATGAGCCCCTCTTCTCTCTGAACAATGTATTTGGTGTATCTGCTGAATGAGGGAATCCAGCTAATTCAGGTTACAGATTGTGTTAGGTTGTACTACTCTAGACGTGTGCCAGGTATTTAGTGTATCTGCTGAATGAGGGAACCCAGCTGATTCAGGTTACAGATTGTGTTAGGTTGTACTACTCTAGACGTGTGCCAGGTATTTAGTGTATCTGCTGAATGAGGGAACCCAGCTGATTCAGGTTACAGATTGTGTTAGGTTGTACTACTCTAGACGTGTGCCAGGTATTTAGTGTATCTGCTGAATGAGGGAACCCAGCTGATTCAGGTTACAGATTGTGTTAGGTTGTACTACTCTAGACGTGCCAGGTATTTAGTGCCAGGGGATTTCAGGTGTATTGTGTTAGGCTGAATGTGCCAGGGAACCCAGCTGATTCAGGTTCACAGATTGTGTTAGGTTGTACTACTCTAGACATGTGCCAGGTATTTAGTGTATCTGCTGAATGAGGGAATCCCCAGCTAATTCAGGTTACACTCTTCAAGATTGTGTTAGGTTGTACTACTCTAGACATGTGCCAGGTATTTAGTGTATCTGCTGAATGAGGGAACCCAGCTGATTCAGGTTACAGATTGTGTTAGGTTGTACTACTCTAGACGTGTGCCAGGTATTTAGTGTATCTGCTGAATGAGGGAACCCAGCTGATTCAGGTTACAGATTGTGTTAGGTTGTACTACTCTAGACGTGTGCCAGGTATTTAGTGTATCTGCTGAATGAGGGAACCCAGCTGATTCAGGTTACAGATTGTGTTAGGTTGTACTACTCTAGACGTGTGCCAGGTATTTAGTGCTATTGCACTGAGATAACATGCCACAGCTGCACTTGAATACCTGACTCTTGATAAGGTGTACAACCAGGCAGAGAAACAAAAACCCTCTCTTGATAAGGTGTACAACCAGGCAGAGAAACAAAAAGTATCTTTCTTTCAACATGGCCTGGAATCAAACCACCCATCCTCTGTTGATCTGGTTTCATAATTTCATCTCATAGTTGAACTCATTGCATGCATAAGAGAATTGTGGAACTACAGCAACCTCCCATATGTACAGTAGTAAACAAGCTTCACAGAAATTTGAACAGGTCTACGTCAACTCTTGTAAGAGGATTGCGTGGTCAGACAAAATGGCTTGGTTGACGGTCACCATCACAAAGCTGGAATACTGCCAAATGTAGCATTTAGCAAACAAAAAAATAAACAAATTCCTTACCATTTCATTGGCTAACCAAGCCATTTAAAAAAACCGATTTTGCCTTTATATACATAACCCCCAGAAAAGTCCACCTCCTACAGACTTTTCTGATTGGTTGATATTTCAGTTTAATGGGATTTTCTTGTTATAACATTCAATCTGTGTATTAGTGGTGGCCCGATTAATTGAAATAATCGAAGATTGGTCGCAATGACTAAACGACCGAGCAATCGATCATGTTTTCTCATAATCGAACACAAACAATTTTGGAACACTTATTTTGCTTTAACAATATTTTTCACAAGGTTGGTTTTGTCGGTTACATTTCAAAAGCACAACCAGCTCGTTCCAAGTCAGGATTGAATTTATCTTAAAGACTCCAAGAGCTTTAGGTTCCTAACATACTAGTCATCCTTTAAAGATGTAAAATTTGCAAATGCATTTTAGGCAATTTGAAAAAAAAAACGGGAAAGAACTACATGTTTTTTTAATATTTTTTGTGCATTAAGAAACATAATCAGGAAAGTTTGATAAATGATGCAAACCAATTATTTTCGATGATTGATCGGTTGTGATGAACCAATCATCAATTATGAGATTTTAACCAATTGCCAACACTACTGTGTATCTTCCAGAGTGATTCTCCATTGCAAACGCACAAAAAACACAACACTCATGGCAGCAGGATCACTTCATTTGACTCTTCAACAATGATGATAACATGCAATATCACAAGTAATGCTACACAAGGTACACACCTTTCGATTCCTACAATCTGCTTACATGACAGTTCTAATACATGATACATCTTTCTGCATGTCTGAACAACTGAATACAATAATCTGCTAGTCATTATATTACTCTGATTTAACATCACAACATTTTCTAATTGATTCTTATCTGTCAGGTATAAAAAGAAAACATACATTTGTGAATGTATACTAGTCAATGTTTGATAGGGATAATTGGATATGTCGTTCTATTTACATATACACTTGACATGACAATCAGTTTTGTGTATAATGGCAAAAAAAAGGTATTCCTCTCAAAAGTTGAGTAGTATATATCGGTACTGTGCAATGACTGAAGAAGTCAAAGAGTTTCATCACATTGATAAAGGAATCACTATCTGAGTTGACAACATTCTGGTTCTGCAACATCTGCTCAGTGGAATATGGTTCATAAATGCATGATGAGAAACACAGAATTTCTCTTGCCCTGTAATCCTAGGGATCCAGATCAATGCTGGGGCGGGGGGGGAAAGCCCAGAACATTGGTGCCAGATCACTGGTATAATCCTGCACAGAGAAGCTAGGTGTGTGACAATCACTTGTAACAGTTTGGGGTAAAACTATACTGGACAAAAATAGTTAGGGATATATGTAAATTTTGAAATTATGAATAATGATCTATTTATTCATTGACACACTGATAACATATCAATCACAAAAATACCAATATCCCTAACTTATTTTGTCCAGTATATTTGGTACATCTTCATATGACATGCATCATAACAATTTGCTAGGATTTGGTTGTAAGTTGTACCTATGGGATACCAACAAATGGATGTTCTGATGACAGTTGTTCCTATTTATAGTTTCACATTCAAACTGAAAAAAGCAGGTGAATACACCTTGGATGCACTGTACAAGCTCATTTTTGTTCGATTTTAACAGGAAACATAAAAGTGTTGTGGTGAAGGAAGCTTCAACATACTTTAACTGTATCTGGAAATGTTCATCCTCTTTGCTTCTACTCTACTCTTGTTATGAAAACAGTCTGGCAGTTAACCTCTGGTCCAATGCCACAGTCTACTAAAAATCTGTTTTGTCTCATAAACTTAGCTGATAATACTCATATGATGACACTAAGACGTAGTAAAAATAATGCAAAGAGCCAATTTTGGGCCAGTTGATTCAAAAGTTGTTTGCATTAACTGTGGAAAAGAAGCCATTAAAATGGAAAAACTTACAGACTTGAAGTGAAAAACCTGCATCCCAAAAAATCTAGAAATGGCCAATTTGAGCCATAAAATGTGTACAAATCAAATCCTGTTACCCTGTAATAAATTTCATTTTGGTTGTTGTTAGAACTGCTTCCTCCTGAAGATGGCAACAACATAAATGTGGCAAAAACATAGATTCATGAATGATTAAAATATGTAAATGTATATGCAAAACCATGTAAGTGAAATGGAGGACACAAACTGTATGAAAGTGAAAGAGAAGGGGCCATTCCATATCAAAGCTTGGAAACCTTTTAGGTAAAAGAATAAATAAAATTATTTTTTTTACAAGAAAATATAAAAAGGATGTGTAAGGTTACCTTGGGTGATGGCACTTCTGTCAACAAGAATGTCTGAAGTGATCACAGCTATATGTTTATAAGCCAGCAATTTCCGTTGCAATAATGACAATGATTTACCTACAATCAGGCGACCTGTACATTACATGCATCAATACAACATTAAATACTGACTTGCAAACATAAATGGATATCCTACTGAAACATAAATACTGACTTGCCACGCAAATGTTTCCTTATAACAAAAATGGACATCCTACAGAACAGTAACAATACCAAACAAACAGTCTTCTGTTTTCAAGGACAATGCTACAGCCTATCACATTCAAATGAGATCTTTTACTACAACACCACACCCCTCTGCATGAAGGTGACGCCTCCACTTGAAGGTCATCAAGTAAACTTTCTGATCAGTGTTGTGGCTTATAAACTTTTTTTTTTTCTTTCTAATTTGTCTCATGTTGAGGAGTCCTCAGATGTTTGTACAGAGAGGAATCATATCAGAATAAAACTTCACACAAATGAAATTATAATAAAAGCTTCTGTATAACACTCCATCTCCTACACTAGGCAGGTAACACATATCTCGCCAGATGTGTGTGCAAAGTGAAAATTATTAAAAATCAAGTGTTCTTGTACCAAATTTTCTTTACCAGATAAACATTCCGTGTATAAAAATGCAAATAAACTATCTTCCAGCACCCATGTACTCTGAACAGCAACATCTCTGGTTACACAGCTCGACAACACAATATAAACACGACGAATATCAACATAGGTGAAACCGACTTGATTTATGAGTAGAACAGTGTGTGGCAATGGGCATGACACATTTTGATCACAAAATATTGAATGTTCGATGACCAACATATTTCTCCTCAAGGATTTTAGGAAGCATTCTTCTGACACTGGCCGAACTGTACACTTTCAGTGCTTATTCCTGTGGTGTAAGACCATTTGGAATGCATCATTCATCAAGTGAGTGACCATGGAGGTACATTAACATTAGTCTTTGGTTCAGGAAGCTCTCAAATATATTCTAAGCTCCCTGGGGAGAATACCAATTAATTATTAATGAAACTGGTCCTATATGCTATCAAACTAATAATTTTAGAGTTATCATAATGACATAATATGAGGCATTTTATGAGGCGAAACATCCAACACAGTTCCTGATATTTAAGACCATATTTAATTATTGTTGAAGGAAATATCTGAGTACAGTCATGTTTTAGATTAGGTGTGATGTTTAACATTGCTATTTCAGGCTGATAACTGTCCTGGTTTTCTGTCAAACATCTTATTCATACTCTGAAAACGACATTCTATTGCACAATATACTGTCTTCAAAGAAAACTTCTCAAAATAGATTCTATGTAAATAGGATTAGTTCTGCAGAAACTATAAGGCATTCCTCTACTGAGTTGGGGCCACTTGCACAAGAAAAATGAAAAATCACTGGAATTCAAACAATTATGCTATTCAGTACCAGTCGGAAACCAATAAAAATGACTTCATAACACACCACTGAGGAGCAAGGTATCTTTCAAGTTTTGGCTCAGTTAAATATCCCCTACTCTCCAAACACAGACATTCCACTCATCTACCCTCACACACATTCGTCAGAGCTCTAACTTCCACAGCTGGAAGGAAGAAAGTTGCTCACAAAAATGCTCAAAATTTCACAATCCATTCCTAGTCATTTTTCTTCTCTTCAGCTGGTTTAGGATCTGTTGCCGTGGTGACCGTTTCTTGGTTCTCTATGGCTGGAGTATCACCTTCTGTTGCAGACGCTGCAGTAATGGCTGCTTGATCTTCAGTTTTGACGTCTCCATTTTGTTCAAACATATCCTGGCTTGTTCCATACTCATTAACCCTCTTTGGATCAATCTTGTATATATAACGCTGATAGACATATATGAAAAATATCACATCTGAAAAGGAAATATAAATCATGAGAATTTGAAATATATTTTTGAACTAAAAAGGTCATGATTCCCTTAATTTGTGTAATTTTCTGAAACGGTCTACAGAACAAAGGTCAATAGCCATGTTTTATTTCATTCATCCAAAACATGTCACATGCAACATACTTTGATAATCCATCACTTGTCAAAAACATAAAATATGCTACAATTGATAAATTCTTCAGATTGTTTTTTAGTGTCATACATCAGCTGGATACATAATACTACTAGTCAATACATCTGTCTATCTTAAACATACAAGGGTTCACTAAAACCACTGTCTGTATTCAAAGTGTACGTGTATTCAAAGTCTATGTACATACTACGTTCCCCCATCATGAATTCACTGGGCCAATAAGCAGAGTAATGGTGGTGTATGTGAATCCATGTTTAATTCTTGAAGTCAGTTATTCCTACTGTGTGAACTCTACCGACTTCCATTTTGTGGTGATGTTGGTCTCTGTAGATGAGAAATCTGCCATTGGTGTTAAGCGGTTGACTTTGTGTGCTGATTCTGAGGGTGAGGGTTTGAATCCCAGATGGGACTCAACCCAACAAAAGTACTAGAATCTGAACTTAACTAAGAAAGTGTAATCCCAAATATAACATATAATACCATGAAGTATTGTTTGTTTGTATGTGTGTGTTTCCAGATGGGTACACTATGAAGCAAGGCACTGGGCCTGACCATCCAATCCATTCAGTCACGTCTTACAACCAGCACAGTTTGCTGAGGAGCAATTCTCAATCCCCACAAGCCATGTGATCTAATGACGATGATACTGCTATAATTACAGTTCAAGACTGTTAACAATTCCTTTCAACATGTTCGATGCGAGGCATTGAGACTTACCGTCACGTAAACATCCTAAACGATATAATGTTGGCATCTTAATGACAAATGCAAATATATCATCAATGAATGTGTTGAGGGCCTTGTATGTCAGCATCCTCCATGGTAGATGAGCCACAGACTTCAGCTTGTAGTTAATGAACAGCTGGGGAGTCATCATGATGAAACCTGAAGACAACACAACAGCATCACAATCAGGCATTTCATTCACACCTTCAGCCTTTCACTCAAATATGACAACCCTGCATTAAGATCTGTGGAAACTTTGGGAATGCTTTGGGTGATACCCAACTGTTATTTGAACACACAATAATATACAATTATAGACTCTTGTAGAGGTCGATATCGGTTTTACTTGACCTGAGTAAAACAATATCGACCGAGCTTCGCGAGGTCCATATTGTTTTCTCAGGTCAATAAAAAACTGATATCGACCTCTACAAGTCTATAATTGTTTTATTATATAATGAAAGAGAAAGCGGGTTTTAACATAAACTTTTAATGCACACACTGTGCCATCTATCCGAGTGATCTGATTGGCTGAAAAGCGGGGGAAGCCCCTTCGTACGGGATTCCTTGTCTATTTTTAGTAACCCAAGTCAATATCGTAATTTATCAGAAAACTCAAGTCAATATCGTGTTTTGTAGTCAATCATGTGACGGTATTTTGACCAATCGTGGTACAGGGAAAATACTATCTATATAATAATAGCTTTTGGCATGGAAAATGGGGTTCAACTCTGCAACCTGAATTGGGGCATCTTAGTGAGTATAGTTTAATGTGGCTTATAGCAACATTGCAACAATACCATGGTGGGCTTCACACATTGTACCCACATGGGGAATGAAACCCTGGTCTTCAGAATGCAGACCGAATGTTTTAAATACCTGGCTACCTCACTGCGTCTGCCCCATCAAAAAACAACTAGGTCATCATGCCCCAAATATTAAAGACTGAGTGAGTGAGTCGGGTTTAGCACTGCTTTTTGCAATAACCCAGCAAAAACAAGGCAGGGACACCAGAAATGGGCTTCCCACATTGTACCCACATACATTAAAGAAAGGTTACTTGACAGACAGGGGTAAAGAGGATGGATACAGAAAGATACCATTGATGCACAACATTTCTCTGTGGACAAACACTCACCGAATGTAAGGAGGAACCCATACATCATGCCCAGGACGAAGGAGTACCATCCCTTGTGTTCATTGTAGAGAAGTGAGTACACAGCATAAACTCCCAGTAGGGGGAACAGAAGCCATGACAGGTACTTGAAGGCAAGCTGCAACATCAGGCAAATGTATGAGTGAGTGAGTGAGTGCGTGAGTGAGGTTTATTTCATCGTCATGGTAAAATGCCACTGATATTTGTGAGTGGTTGAGTGGGAGTGGCATGTTTCCAGTCATATTTGTATCTGTTTTGCTCTCTGTAAATTCTATTCACTGTAAAGAGTTGATAAATAAGACTGCTTTAAGTAAAGAGTTATCAGGTGAAACTACAATACGATGACTAAGGATGTGAGCAAATGGTTTTGAATCAAATCAAATATTAAAGTGTTTGAAGGCTCAGATAATTTAGTTCCGCATCATTCAAAATTTGGATGACGAAAAATATGAGACATCATAGCCTTCTTTATGTACTGATTCGGGAACGTCTCTCAGCTCACGTCCAAAATGAGGGAATAGCACAGAGTCTATGGCTACGTCAGATAACTTGGATGACAAAAAATGTGTGACATCATAGCCTTCTTTAAATACTGACTGACTGAGTTTAGTTTTACGCCGCTTTTAGCAATATTCCAGCAATATCACGGCGGGGGACACCAGAAATGGGCTTAACAGATTGTGCCCATGTGGGGAATCGAACCCGGGTCTTCGGCATGACGAGCCAACGCTTTAACCACTAGGCTACCCCACCGCCCCTTCTTTAAATAAGAATTACTAGTAGAGCTTCCTGCATCTACAAACTATGACTCCTACAACAATTTCACAGTTCCTCTAATAACAAAACTACTTTGAAGGGAAAGGAGGTATTTTGGGAAGCCTGTTTAAATAGAATTGTGCAATACAATGAAACAGACAACTTCTGACAGTCAAAACCAATATCTCGTCAAATTTTCAGCAATATTAATCTAGGAAACGTTCCTTTACTTGTTTCAGTGTATAAACACTGATGAATAAATATGACATATGTTTCACATCAGGGATCTTAGGACATGGTTCATTAAGATAAAAAGATATACATAAGATTAAAGGCTCTTAGAAATTCCTTCAAAATAATCAGAGAAAAGCTAGAACATTTCCACCTGTATGTCCTGGGAAAGTCCAAGTAAATCAAGGTCAACATTGTGTACATAAAGTTGCAAGACTTCAGGCTGGTATGTTAATTTGCAGAAATTACAAACATATCAAAATTCTTCTAGAACATGTTAAACATGGTTTTCTAACTTGTGCTGTACAAAAAAGTCTAAATGGGTCAATTGTATAGTATTGAAAGGCTCAGATAATTTAGTTCCGCATCATTCATGATTTGGATGACGAAAAATATTAAACATCACAGCCTTCTTGTTATTTGAAACAAAGTGAGTGTTGATAAGATATCCAATTGTTTTTCAGACAACACATTTAATCAGAGTTAAAGGTAGAAAGAATTCTGACTCTACAATCTATAAAGGTATACTGACAATCCAGTCAAATAATAATTGTGAACTATTTGGAAAATAAATAAGACTAATTTTGACTATTGATAACCTAATTTCTTCACACAGAGAATTTATTCATTAGGAACATTGAGGCCTTGGGCCCATAGTGCAAAGAAAGCATTTAGGAAGTGATCACTTGAAATACACATTATGTTCGGACAGATATGCATAAGCACACAAACTTCGTATAACATCTTATCAGAGCAAATCAGGGCTAATTATGATACTATAATTATGTTAAGTAAGAAAATAAATCAAGGTTGTATACAAAGTTGCAAAAACACCAAGTATTTTGTTAGATAACGGAAAGAAGGATCAGAGTCAGAAGGCTCAGATAATTAGGTTCCGCATCATTCAAAATTTGGATGACGAAAAATATGAAACATCACAGCCTTCTTCATTTCCTGATAGCTGAACAGCACAGAGTCTATGGCTACCAGGTTCTCATATATATATTGACAGAATATCAGAGTACACAGCTACCATGCCATTGTATATATTGAGGGAATAGCACATAGTGCCACCAGGTTATCCATATATTGTGGGAATCGCACTCAGGCTATAGCATATATTGAGGGAATAGCAGAGAGTATGGCTATCATTCTATGGCAATTATTGAGGGAATAGCACGGAGCATATGGCTACTAGGCTATTGCATATATAGAGGGAATAGCACAGAGTCCACGGTTATCAGATTATGACACATAATGAGGGAACATCACAGAGTATATTTCCATCCTATATACGTCATCTACTCGAGGAACAGCAAAACGCTATCAGGATACACCACCACCCCAAATATATGCCACCTTTCATTGTAAAATGACCCCTACTTACAGTATCATATTTCTTTGTCATAGATTCAGTGTAGCTGGACTTGTCTCCCAGGGTCAACCGAGGAAACACTCCTAGGAGAAGATTCTCTCTGTCAAACTGAAAATACAAGATAATTCAAGACTGAACATGGTCTAGATTACAAGTTACATATATATGTCATTCCTGTACAGACCCACAGGAATTTGTGGCTGAACACTGACTGTGATGTACAGAATGATCTTGGGCGTACATTTGCTCAAACTTTTGCGGAACTACAGTATAGCAGTCAGATGTACCACATCAACTATTACTAATATTTACTACTGATTACCAGCTGAACATAATATCAACACTAAATGCAATGTAATTTGTAAAATCATACTTGGAGACTTGTGGTCATAATCTATACATTACCTTGACATTGACAACTTTGTGGATCTTCCAAATCTCAATACACAGTCCAACGAATACACTGATCCTGACAACAGTGTTTGTTTCGTTGTCCATGACGTACAGCAACACAATGAGTGACTGGAACACATTGAAGAACACAGAACGCACCGACAAGCCCTCCAGAGACTTGCGACTCTTCCAGAACTGAATATCTGCAACAGGAACAATTACCTGTGACAAGCGAACGATTTCGATTTTCTGCACGTTTAGCAAATTTCACCCATTACTCCAGATGGGTAAAGCGGAATGGGATTCACACATTTTTGTCAAATGATGAACCAAACCTAGGATCACCATTTAGCACCATGATCACCATTTATTTTAAAGAAAATGTAGCAATAATGAAAATGATACATGTGGAAACAAATAGATATGATCAAGTACAATCTTGGGGGGAGGGGGGGAGAAGAGAGAGAGAGAGAGCAGTCACATTATTGCATTATTAGAATGCAGGTAGTGAATATGTACTGACTAGTCAGGGAACAAATGACATATGGTTGTTATGGGGGAATACTTACAGATGGTATGGGAGGCTAACGTTTGTAAGCAAACAAAGGGTGATAGTTACTAGTAGTTACTACACTGCTCTGATCATAAGCCGATTTAACTAAATAATGCTAAAGCATATCACCATTTAGTCCAAAAAGTGAACATGGATTATGCCCTTTGATTGCAATGTTTCCTGAACTTACCATTCTTGAAGGCAAGGAACTCAAAGACACTGTGTAGAAGAGACACCACAATAGTCAGGGCAAGAAGGTAGGGGTTGGTCTCCAAGAAAGCTGTCTGAAAACCACACAGTGAGCATTGTTTTGAATGAGTCTTGCTTCAGATGTGGATATGCCACAGGCACTTACATATTTTGATGACAAACCAGGTACTGTAACTGTCATGAACACTGTTTGTTGTTAACTCAATTCTTGATTATTAAATACATACTATTTGGGGGATCATGGGAATCATCATCATCAAATGTGGGAAAGCCACATTAACTCAGTGCACCTAGTGACAGCAAGAGTTGTATGCTCCCCAGGGAGTTGAGATTGATAATACATTGTGCTGTTTGAGACTGACATCCAGTGATTGAGGGAAAAACAAAGCGTTTTTGAGCAAATGATCATCTGTTCAGTATAGTAACCTTCAGTGAATCCTGATCGTCGTCATTCTCCTCAATGAGGTCGCTCCCCATGAAGCTGTACCACTTGCTGCGCATGCCCTGTGCAGCATAGATCTGCCAGCGGAACAGGGAGATGGGGCTGTACGTCAGGGTCAAGTTCAGCTCCCTGCATACAATAAACCGAAACTACAGCAACATTCAAACCCACCACATCTAAAACAAATATGTGTATCTTTTCACAGACTTATTCATATTTTCTATAATCATGATTATTTCTTTCACTTCTTTTATTCCAACAAATAATAGATTAAGCAATAACATTAATGGTGAAAAATACTCAAAATCATCAAAGAGTCTATAATCCTATCATTCAGTTTATGTGAATTCAGCATCCACACTTATCCAGCATAAATTATTGAGTTCAAATTTCACATCGCCATGGCAATACTGCAGCCATATCCCCATGTTATTAATAATTTCCCTGGATACTTTCACCATGATAACTACGCCACTACCACCGTCAATGTCCAACTTGGCACAGGCTGACTATTGCTCAAGACAGTAACAGATTAGATGGCTATATTCAGCATTACGCCATCTGAATCACCTCTAATGGGTTCAGTGTGATGAGTGAATACTAAAGCCTCAAGACTAGTCACTGTCCTTAAGGCTTATAAGATTCAGAATTCCAATTATGAGAAGCATACTACTATACTGTGCAAGACATGCATATTTGAGAGGTGAGGAACATACGTGACTGTGTCGTTGACAGGCATGTAGTGACTGTTGAGGTTCCAGTAGTCATTCAGATACAAGACTGGGTAGTACTTGTCAGTACCAGGGATGAAGTCAATAACTAAAATATCCAGAACAAACAGGAGATAACGTAAAGCTGATATAATGCCAACTCCACATAGTCATTATGATATACATGCAGAACAATTCACAAGAACAACTGTGTTTGTGTCTCCAAACAAACATACAACTACAAGTGTCAAGAAAACTTTCTACAAGTGGTTACAACATCAGCATGGGTTGTGAGCTCACGAGTTATATTCTAAATGGTTTATTTGGTGCAGGAAAAGAGTCATTTATGTCACTGCTGCTTGTCTTTAGTTATGCCAAAAGTGCTTTAGCAAAATTTGAGTAATATCACAGCAGGGGGCACTTGAAATAGGTTTCACCCATTGTACCCACGTGGGGATTAGAAATCCTTCATATTTAATAAACCAGGCAGATGATTGGTAATTGTTGAATTATGCTCCATTTAATATAACTCCTGTATTGAAACACAAAGACCCATTGCTATGAAGAATGAAGAATATTTTAGTTTCTTGTTTTGAGTTGTTTTGCTCTCTGCTTTGTTTTCAGCAAATGGAGAACCTGTAGGACCAATTAAATAACACTCATGCAGTGTTCACGAATAGCGGCTGACCCTCTGACAAATCCGGCAGATTCGCCAAAGGTCTGATAGAAGTCTACAACCCGCCGGCCCCAGTGTCTGACTGTATATTTCACAATGACTTTGACTGAAGTTGTTATATGTGACATGTGACACTTGTTTGCTGTTTATAAATCATATGTTTTTTAATAATTTCAATGCCAATTATAAGAAATGTTAGATCTGAAATGTGTGTTTAATTTTATTCTTTGGGTCCTGAGAATTTTCAATGGGTCAGACAGACATCTGAAGCTTACAGGACCCAATGTCCTGTTACTTCGAAACACCATTCGTGAACACTGCTCATGAAAATGATTACTGAGACTCACATTCATCAAGAGGAGCTGGAACATGGCCTTCTATCCAAGGGGAGTAGTCATCCAGTAGGTTGATGGTCATGTTGGGATGCCAGTGAGACAGAACCTCAAAGGAGGAAGAGTTCTCTCTCTGTCAGTAAACAAAGTAGAAACACTTAGAGATTGACCAATAATGTTCCAAGAGCACTATGACTGCTGTCTAAGTCAGTGATTCAGTTCAGTCTTGGAATAAGTGGGACAAAGCTGAAAGTGAGACACTTCATGGACATTTCGAGGGAACTCATCAGGAGCTAAAGGCGCTGTCACTCCAGTGGTCATTGCTGAAGCTAAACGTTGATTCAAACCTCTGCAACTAAGTATAACTTCTGGACCTTGGCTCTGTTAGGGATGCAAGGGGCTGTGACATCTTTGACTGATGGGCCACATATCCCGATGATGGTACCTAGCTATGATCAAGGAACACCAGGTATCAGATTCTTTTTCAGAAGTCCTCCTTGGGTACTGATAAGCATTAAAATGACCATTATAAAATCCTATGACAGCCTGTAACAATATTTTAATAAAAATATTTACAAAACAAAAAACTTGTTTTTGTCGTGTTTGACCACCCCTACAGGGCCCCTACAGCCAAGAGTAGGTAACTCTTGCCGCCGACCTCGCACCTCACTTTTCATGCTGTCATTTCTCAGGAAGGATGTGCGTGTGTTCATTCTCAGGAATCTTACCTGTATTTTTTTTTTATGTCAATATGAGTGAAAAGGATTCAAATACTGTATGTATGGTTCCTTTCTTTACACACGGGCGTTATGGAATTTATATGTAGGTATTTTCATTCATAACTTTGCCGAAGGGTCGAAACTTCCAGCCATGTAGCAGGCAAGATGGCTGACCATGCGGTTTTCTACTCCCTTCTTTCATTTTTGTAGTGCTATGCTTCTTTATGGTCAGGCGTTCTATATAATTCTTTCATAATAGATAATTGGCTTTCCCTAATTTTCTCGCATTCAGTGTAATTGCGGTAAGTCACGGTTGAGTACTTTCGTATTTCGGGTATCTGGGCTCAGGATCCCCCGTCCAAAACGTTTTCTAACAAGAAGAGTTCCACCTCTTCTTCCTCTGCACCCACGGAAGGAGGGGTCAAGCAAGCAGGAGGACAGACGCTCCATGGATGTTGTTCTCGGCCCTAGCTCTGGCTCTGGGCAGCTTCCACACGACGAAAACACGGGTCTAGTTCCATTGTCGTCCGGCGTCTCCTGTTCTCCTGTATGGGACCTCTGTGTGCACAGGGGCTGCCAATCGTCGACGTCCTTGGGTCAGCCTATTCCTTGGGTCAGCCTATTCTCTTTGGGAAACCTGCAGGAGGCATGGCAGTTTCTGCTTTGGTTTGACCAGATAGACATTCGGGTGATGCCTGTTTATCTCACGGGGTTAGAAAACGTTTGTGCAGATGCGCTTTCACAGCGTACACTAGCCCCCCTCTAGGTCCATTGTCGTCCGGCGTCTCCTGTTCTCCTGTATGGGACCTCTGAGTGCACAGACGCTGCCAATCGTCGACGTCCTTGGGTCAGCCTATTCTCTCTGGGAAACCTGTCTTGTCAGGCTTTTCCCTAGGGTCTCGGCACAGGTTCGAGCCATGGGTTGGTCCAGCCCGGCACCTTGGCCCTCCTCGAACCTTTGTCTCTTTCATTGGCTCCCTCTTCCAATTATTCAGAGTTATCTCTGGAGACAGAGAGTCCGCTCCTGGAGGACCATGATGAGAAGGCCATGGAAGAGGACGATGGCAGGGAGGCGACGGGGAAAGTTAGCTTCTTGCTCGGTTCATCCCTGAGGCAGGTGCACGATAGGATAGCCACCGTCCTGCCTCAGGTGGTCGACCCTTCCGACAGCCCCGACCCCACGGAGTTCAGCCTCCCCAACGAGGTGTTCGCTCCGTGTAGGGTGGCCGAGACACAGCTCCCTGTGGTGGATGACAACATCTATGTGTCGCAGGCAGGGTCGCAGGTTACTTCACTTCACCACCAACGGGGTACTCCCGAGTGTCTGAGGGTGCGACCTATACAGCAGGCGTTAGCGCAGCTGTGATCTCACTCAGATAGTTATGAGAATGTTCTCCAGACTCCACAGTTGTTGATTCCTCACTTGCAGTGGCGGACAGACATCAGGAACCTATCCAGGGGGATACCCCTGTAAACCCTGACGACATCACTCTCGATTCAAACGTTTCCCTCACAGGTTGGGGCAGGATTCTGGGTGACCTCACAGTATCGGGCCTTTAGTCAGAGAATGAGGCGCGCCTGCACATCAATGTGCTGGAATTGAGAGCAGTCCGGCTAGTATTTGAACGCTTTGTGGATCAGGTTTGAAGCCGTGTTGTTCGTCTTGAGATGGACAATCAAACGGTGATGACCTATATCCTCAAGTAGGGCGGTACAATGTCCCTGTTGCTCCTGCAGGAGGCACGGCAGTTGCTCCTTTGGTGTGACCAGATAGAGACATTCGGGTGATGCCTGTTTATCTCCCGGGGTTAGAAAACATTTGTGCAGATGCGCTTTCACAGCATACACTAGCCCCCCTACGAGTGGCAGCTCAAGCGGGGGTATTCAGGATTATCCCCCGGTTGTAAGGGTCATTCAAGGTGGATCTGTTTGATGCTGGGGTGACGAATCAGATACTGGTGTTTTGCTCTCGGATACCGGATCCGAGGGTGATCGCCTCCGATGCCTTCCAGCTTGATTGGACGGACAGGGTTCTGTGGGCGTTTCCACTGATACCCCTGATTCCCAGCGTCCTCTCGCAGCTTGCCACCCAACCAGATCGACTAAATGTGCTCCTTGCACCTCTTTGGTCGGCGCAACGCTGGTTTCTGGTAATCATCAGGTTTCTGGCTCAGCCTCCTGTACTATTACCCTTTCGACTGGACCTACTAGATTAGAAGCCGGTCTGCAGAGGCCCTGAGGGGCCCTGAAGGGGTGGTGGAACAAGACAAAAACAAGTTTGTTTTGTAAATATTTTTATTAAAATATTGTTGCAACTGTCGTAGGATTTTAAAATGGACATTTTAATGCTTATCCATACCACAAGGATGATTTTCTTCAAAGAACCAGTAACCTCTACAGGTTTATACGAGTTTAGCCATACTTCAGGCTCATACCACCCTATTAAACAGTCCACATGCATGATGAGGTACCCCTTTCTTTAGCCTTGAAGCATTTGTATTCACAGAAGCCAAAGTTGATGAAAACCAAAAGAATCCCGAAAAGAGAGACAACTGGGAAAGGGAACAACTTCCTTTGACAACAGAGTCAACATGTCACTGGCATTTACATCTTGGTAGGTCTCCAGTTATGCCTCTTGGCATTGTACCACAATGTGTTGCCAGTCTTCACTCTAACCCACTGGTTGACTGGCCTATTCCATCTCATTTTCTTGGCCAGCTTCATCCCTTAATCTGGACACTCTAATGGGCTCCCATTGTGAGCCTGGTCAATATTGCTATTATAAATTAAAGAGGACATGACTGATTTCACTTGACAGCTGAATCATTTTATCCTGAATACCAATAAAAATCTAAATAGTTGTCTCCTAAAGGAAACTGCACATGCGAATTCACAGGAATCTTAAGCACCCATCTCTCATACAGCCACAATTATTAAAAACCACAGTGCTTCCACATACCTTGATAAGATCAGGATGTACATCTGTCTCTCCCGTGAGCAGATTAACAGAGTTGTGGTAAAAACGTTTCTTGAATTTGTTCAGGCCTAGAAACAAAGGAATATTGTCATTAGTATTGGAAAAATAATATGTGTTTATGGTTAATGTTATTTGCACAGACATAAATATGTTCACATACATGATACATTTGTTAGATTGTACAAATATATACAAATGCAGATAACTGAATGCAATTAATCTTCCTGACATACAGGACAGTGTGAAGGACATCAGCAATATTCACGCTATACGATGGCAGCCTGTAAATAATCAAGTCTGGACCAGACAATCCAGTGACTGACATCATGAGCATTGACCAACACAATAACACAATTGGGATACTGGCATGAACCAAGTTAGCAAGTACAACCATCTAATCCCATTGGTTGCTCTTTCGAAAAGCATGGGTTGCTGTAGACCAATTCTAATCTGGATCTTCATCGTAGTAAGTTGTAGGGATGAGGAGGAAATTTCTACATAGCCCAATCCTACATGCAACAGTATGGTATGCTGCCTATGCAACTTTAATACCCTGTATTAAGGATCAATGTGCTCTGAAATGTCAGAAGCTATAGTAATGCAAACCTTGCAAACATGTACATGTACCTACGTTTGGATCTGTACACGGTTGTTTTTCTGGAGAACTTCCCCTTCTCGTCAGGGTCAGGCAACTTTCCAGCTTTTACAAAGTAGACATGTAGATACACTGATCCGTTGTTTTGAATAGTCTGAAAATATGATTTTTCCATTCCTGACATGAACTTTGGTCCAAAGTATTTTCTAAGGCTATCATAGAAATGACTTCTATTAACATCTAATTTTGAGCATTGTTGGAGTGATTTTGGCTCAGGAAAATGTCAACAGCACATTTTCGAGATATTGGTAAACTTTTGGTGGGAGATTGACAAAATTGACAAAATATCTCCAGGACATTTTCGTTTTTGACACGTCAGTGTCCAAGAATATGAAACCTGAAACCCTGATCCTTGTCAAGAAACATGCAATACAAAACCATGTAGGCCAAATTGCGATTAATTTCCGTAACAGTCTATGTGACATACAGAACATTGTAATAAAGTGCATTATAATTATCAAAACATCAAAAACAGGATGTGCATAGCTTAGTCATTCTTCCCAAACTGAGGTTTTACTCCTTGAAGAATTAACATATTTTTTCTCTGCTATAAATCGGTTACAATTTGATTTTCGTCATGTAATCAATATGCACACACCGGCGTTGCCTTGATCCTGTCACTGTGGACATATGACCCATCCCCATCTGGTCCACTGGTCCAGTCTCCATACACAAGTGCCCGTTTTGTCCAAAACAATGCATCAGGATTCTTGAAGTCTGTGAAGTATTCTTGCTCTGACACATACACGTACATGTCCTGCAACAAATATTACACTGGCAACAAACTGATACTAGGATACAACTTCTTATCATGAAACAATGTTTTAGTAAAATCAGAACTCATTTGTCTTCTACAAAGTATGAATCCTTTAACAGGTTACAAAACCACCTCTATATCATGTATATAGCTGGGGTTGTTTTAGTAAAAATTAATGTGGTGCCACTGCACATCATTCAAGCTTTGAAAAAGGTTCTCATTCAAACCCTTGTCTTCTACAAAGTAATAAATCCTTTAAGGTCTATAATATTTTTGACCTTTTCACTGACAAGGTATATTCATTAAAGATAATGCAACATATATTGTGTAGGAAATGAACATTTATTGCCACAGTGGTCTGATATTGGCTCATCTCAAAATATATGGGATCGGTAAAAACCTTACAATTTGTTTTCTTATGGTCCTCAGAAAATTACAATTTGTTTTCTTATGGTCCTCAGAACTTTAGTAACATTTCATTTTTCAATAAAATGTAACATCTATGATAATGTTTGATTGTTTCTGCATAAGATTAGATTAGCAGATAAGTACAAACATGTTTAGTAAATTGTAATCAGATCTGATTTCTAAATTTTGTCAAACATAAGTTATCAAATCTAATGATCAAGGTTTCCCCTCCTGATACAAATGATAGCCAGCAGCTTTTCAGTGAATACATCAACTACAAACCATTCTCATTTCTTTTGAATACACATTTGATGATGGCTTCTGCATGACAGATGATCCTGCGCTCCCATCAGAGGTTGTATTTGTTTGGGGTGAACGTTTGAAGAGACTTGCAATAAAATAGATGAACAACATGCGGACAACCAGCGTCTTCAACATTGACCACATGTTTTGTCTGGGGGCAGGCTGCTGGGCCGGCTAAAATGAAGTAAGCAGAGTTGAAGCAAGGAGAAATGGTATCAAATATTTTTGAGCTTATATAGTGACGTTCATGATTGGTATATACAGTCACTGACAGGGTCTTAGCACCATAAAAAAGTGCAAAGACCCCGTCAGTGACTGTATATACCCAGTATTTTGCATTACATTATATATATAAATAAGCCCTTATGGATACAACTGGATAACATGATATTATGGACTGGAACATGTATAACCTGACTTAACATCATTTTGAACATCAATCATCATCCTATTAACCATGATGACATGACATAAAATTCTCTTGGCACAGACCACTGGTGAGGTAAAAACTTCACCAGTCAAGACATGTTCAACACATTCAAGATGGCAGTGTTGTAAGTACTAATTTGAAAATGTTGAATTGAAAACACACTTAGTGACAGCATAATTGTTCTAAATTTTGAGACAATCAATTTAAAATGAGCCAGAAAGACTTGACTCCTGCAAATATGACTGATGCAGAAAGCAACATATTTTTGCTATCAAAAGTTATTCCTTTTTCTGAGATACTTGCGAAGTTAGCCATTTAGAGAGAGGTCTGATTCTGGTAAACAGGGATCAGACAAGCATTAATGTTGCTACAGTCATAAATACTACCACATAAATGAAGGCGCCTTGTTGGCTTAACCTTCAGCATCCATTTTCACCAGATAACTGCAACAATTTGCTGAGATGTCACTTTAGCCTGAATCCAATTGTTGCACTACCATTGGCGGATCCAGAGAGGGGAAGGGGGTTTCAGGGGTTCAACCCCCCTTTTTGAAAATGACTTAAGACCACATTGAAGATTTTTTTTGCGTTGGCGGAGCCAGTGGGTGGTTCGAATCCCATGAACCCCCACCCCCCTTTCAAAATTCCTGGATCCACCCATGACTACTATATATCTAAAAAGTCTCATAGGTGGAGAAGAGATTTGTAAATCATATGGCACATGCTGGCAAACCTTCCAAACATTTATATCCGAAACCGGCTTAGAGAGCAGCATATATCTGAACAATGAACGGATAAGAGGGATACCATCTGCGATCTAGTCCAAAAACCTAATATCGCATTTGCTTATCGAAAGGGATTCGTTAAATCATATCTTACGTGTGTCCCTCCACCTGCCATGTTAGCAGTTATAAATTACCAGCACAAAATCTGATTGAACAAATGAGTTATAACTGATTTATGATTCAGAAAGCATAATGAGCGAAACTCTGCGAGAACCAGGGCAGGTACATGAGTAATCAGCAATGAAAAAGCGAACGCGAGACTTCGATTTCTCATCATGAGTCATACAAATGAGACACATCTAAAGTCAGAAGAAGTAGCTGAACCTGGGCAGACTGGTCGGTTCCATTTTGGACTTGAGTTCCATCCCCATTCCCAGTAGAAACGGTTGATGAACTTTCCACGGCATTTTCAGTACTCGTGTTTTCAGCCATCTTGTTGAAGTACTCTCCAAATTACCTGAAATGATAGTATGAACTAAACCAAGGAATATTTTTATTAGGCAGTAAAAACCTTGTAAGGAGACTTTTTTTTATATAAATAAGAAGTCTATCTGCTGTTAGATGAATTCACAGGTTTTTGAATTGTCACTACAATTTAATAATATTTCGGTTCTTTGCTAGTAACTTGTTGTCGCTAGTTTCCGACAAACTTCGAAAAGCGGAAGCAAATTTTACGGAAAGATCCGAACACCGGCCGATGAAAGCCGATAAGCGGCTTCAAGATGGCGGGCTTTCGGGATCGCGAAAAACAACATTTCCCTCTACAAAGTATTCAATCTGCTGTCGACTTATTTAAAGATCAACTGGAAAATTCTGAAGAGCCTAATTTGGCATTATTGTCAATTGTGTTGGGATGTATTGAAAATACACTGACACTCAACAGAGCAGTGTCATCACGGGACGACAAAGCCAAAGGTTTGGAACCGATCTTTCCTGTGATCGAACTTTCTACTGTTGAAGCGCTCTACACTAAATTTGTGACACTTGTCAAGAGCTCTGTAGATCTGTCAAACAACACTGGGGAGTATTCCTCACGAGAGTTAGTGAAGAAGGTGTCGGACGTTATTTGGAGTTCACTAACGCGCAGTTACTACAAGGATAAAGCACACCTCCAATCTCTCTACAGCTTTCTGACGGGTAAGTACCTCGGATGCGATCTCAATGTGTGGCCAATCTAATTAAAATCATATGGATTTTGATGTACCAGTGTAAATTTTAATCATTTATCTACGTAATCTTTGTGACTAAATGAGTTGCCATGATGTCGTTTTTTCACAGTCTTGATTTTGTTTATACACGACACCTGTCAGTTTGCGCGCAGTAATTCCAGTGCGCAGCCGGTGCACTACCATTTGCCAATGACGATTCACACAAGCAGAGTCTATCGATTGAGTAAAGAGTTCCTCATTATCATATTGCTATATTTTAATATTATAATGAAGCCGAGGTCGGTGGTAGCGCACATCTTAGTTATTGATTGGCTTGCTTAAGTGTACAGTTACTGGTACATTTCGGAACTGGGAAGTGAAAAGGACTTCATTAGATAGGGTTGGAATGTGATATATGGTTTCCGTTTTTACCATAAACATTAGTCATATGCACATAATTAAAATGTGACACGAGGCATTTAATAGTAAATCATTGTTCAAAATATTTCCTGACAAAATGTTTTGTCTGTACCTATATCTATGTAAGAATGAAGTATTTGTTGTTGTTATATAGATATTCATAGCTTTATGTAGATTTCTTCTCATGTTGATATGTTCTGTAGACTGTATGTGAATATATTTATATCCTTGTTGAGCAAATATTAATTTTATGAGATCAACAGTGGTTTAAAGGGCATTTTAAAATATTGGTTTATCATTTACTCTAATTATCTCAATGTTCTTACACAAATCCTACCTTGCAGATCTTGGTTATACATGATATGAAATATGTATGCTATTCCATTGACAGTTCATGAACTTTGTATTTGCAAAGAATTTATTATTCTACGTTCGATAGATACAGGCCTTTTAATCCAGAGTTCTCTCCCTTATACCAGATCTCTGAGCTGGTCAAGGTGTGTTAATGTAGAAGAAGTGACTGTAAAATATGCCCCATCCTATATATTATTTAGAATGGGTTGGTTTTAAGACGAAGAATCAGTGACAGCAATTTGATGTTTGAATTTAAATCATTTTATTGCCAAACCTATTTGAGGGGGAGGATGAAAATGAAAGTAGAGTTAAAATTAAAGGAAAGTGTTGTGATTGTAATTATAAAAACATGTTGGCCATATTTATTGCTTATTGAAAGTAGGTTGAATTTGACAACATATAGTACACTCTCTGGTGTTTTGTTTTCTAAGATAGTTAACTAAAATGTTTTTATGTGGTATATCAATTACTGTAAAGTTCCCCAATTTGATCCCAGAATATGCCACGCCAATTCTTTTTGTTCCTAATAACACAAGCAGTTTTGTAGTTGTTATTCATTGTCATCAGCATCCATGTGTATTTATTTAAACACAAAAGCTTTATCAAATAAGAAGATGTCTTCAGCAGAAGAACAGTATATGTGAGGAAACCTGATTTGTTCTTAACTTTCAAGGAATGGCAAACTGTGCTGCCATTACATTTAAGAACTTTATGAAGTTGTTGTTTGATTGTCCTGACTTCATCATGTTCATACAACCTGGGCCCCGTTTCACAAAGCTCTCCGTAAGCCTAAGATCTCGTAACTTTTCTCGTAGCATTCATACCTCCTATACTGTAACATAGGAAGTATGAATGCTACGAAAAAAGTTACCAGATCTTAGGCTTACGAGAGTTTTGTGAACCGGGGCCCTGATTCTTTTACAGAGTCATCAATAGAGCATTGACTAGAATCATGAGTAAAATTCACATTTTATTCTTTTTTTTCCCCAGGAAACAAGCTTGATTGTTTCGGTGTCGCATTTGCGGTTGTCGCAGCCTGTCAAGTTCTGCGCCTGAATGATGTACACCTGGCACTGTCTGAGGACCATGCATGGGTTGTGTTTGGGAAGGACTTTACTGAGTCTGCTGAAGTCACGTGGCATGGTAATTAACAGGTTCACTCTGGTGGGGAACTATTTTCAATGATATTATCATATGTGGGATACAGTACACATGTGGGATTCAAGTAAAGAAATGTCACCAGCCTTTCATGCTGGTCATGTGACTTGAATGATAGTGTGTCATCATACCATCGCACTATGAATCGTATAGTATGATTCTGTGTTCATAATATCAATCTGTTGATTGTCATGTTGTCATAGCTTGAATGAATATTACATTAGTTTTCTTGTTGCATCTTATTCAAGTCTAGTGATCATACATAATTTTGGAGAGGAAAAACATATTCAGAATGTAGAAAGAACTGGAAACTTTATCATGTTTATCCTTGGGAAGTCCCAAATCCCCCGTAGCCCCATAGTGTATACTACTACTGAGGTGCATGCAAAATTTGATGAAATTCGGTCGAATAGTTTCTGAAATATTGACTTTTAAGTGAGCATGGGGTCGGTGGGGAAAAAGGCTCGGGTCGCCTCGGGGGTGGCTGCTCCTCCGAGTGCTGTGGGCGGACGAGTCGCAGTGCGTGTGCGTGTGTTTCTCGGCTTGGTGTACGGGTGGCTGGCTGGCTGGCTACATTAAGCAGAAAAATAAGCATGCAAGACCGATAAAATATGACGAGAAACTATCATCACACGGTTGGTGATGTGTAAGGGACTGTGTCGTGAGGTACGATCATCAACTCCTCTCTGACGAATGCTCTGGGCGGCCCGTCTTTCAAGTAGTACAAGTTCGGTTCGCCGTCTTTGATGTTGACCAGGTCTACGTTGTACGTTTTCATGGACCATATCGGATCGGTGGCGCGTTTTCTGCTGTCTCCCTCGTATTCGCCCGGCCGTCCGTGTTTCTGTTTCCGGGATCGATTAAATCCTGCGAGTATTGGTGCGAAAACAGGTGTTCGGCTAGGGTGCGATTGAATCTCTCAACGATGGCTTGGCTATGGTGAGTTCCCGATATACCTCGTCTCACTTGGACTTTGTGCTTGGCCAGCAGCTGTGACACGGCTCCCATGAACTCGCGTCCGGGATCGACTTGCAATACGGTAGGCCATGTCAAGCGACTGCGTTTGTATATGCGTTCAAAGGCTTTGGCGACTTCATTCAAATATTTCGTTGTCAACGGTTCGGCTTCCTTGTAGCGACTGGCGACGTCGACGACGGTCAGGGTGTACTTGTAGGTTTTGCGCCTCACCCTGTCATGAGTCAGAAACAGGAGGTCAGCTTGGTGAACGCGATTCGGCGTTGAAATGTCGAATTATCTTCTCGGGATGTACCGAGGCGTCGGCAGGTAGACTTCCGCTGCCGTGTAGTCTGTCGTCGTCCGTGGATCGCATGTCCAGCCACAGCGCGTAATGCTTATCCAGGTACTTACCGAGCGTCACGTAGGTGAAACCCAGGTCTTTGGCGACGTCGTTGACTTCAGACGAATGTCGCTTGATGGCCGGTAGTTTTTTTGTCTCGTCCCACTGCTGGTGAGTTCGCATGCCTTGGCTAAACAGCTGGTTGGGCACACTGTTCGCTGTTTCTTTGAAACGGCTTGTACTCCACCACAGGAATGATCAAGATGCCTTTCATCGATCGAGCCGGCACGTTCAGGTTGATGTTCCACAGCGTGTCGCTCTTGTCCTTGACGATCGTCCGGTGATGCAACAAGCGGTCATACAAGATGGACAGCTTTCCCAAGTATTGTTGGCGAATATGCCGGGCCAGTTACCGAGCTGGCCTCGGTGCCGTCAGACGTGAAGATGACTTTGCCGTAGTTGTTGAACGTGAGTTCGTATTCTAGCCAGTCGCCCAGCGCGGCCTGGTCAAACGGCATATGCCCCTCGAGCAGCTCGAAGTCAAGCGGTATGCAAAACCGATTCCCGTACGCCTCGGCGACGGCTTTTTCTGCTGCTGTTATATTGCCGAGCTGGTCTTGTGTGAAACCGTACCCCACACGGATTTCATTCGATACGTCGTTATTCCAACAAAGTCCTTGATACGCCATGTCATCGCGTTCGTTCAAGGTTCTCCAGAGGTCCGCGTAACAGTAAAACACGTCACTGTCGTCGATGCTCAGCACCTCGTTCCCGCTGATTTTGATGGTGGTTTTCTTGATGATGGCACGTCCCAGGTTGTTCACGATCGTGCGTTTGTCGGTCGTGGACTTAAACGTGATCTGAAAAGCCAGTCGAGTTGTGCCGGGGACGATGACGTCGTTCGTGCCCAGGTTGGGGAATCAAACCAGCAGCGTTTGGTTTTGATCGATCGTGCTCGGATTGTTGGTGATCGTCACCGACCGACGCACGGCTTTGACACCCAGGGGTTCTCTCGATATTCGCAAAGGATCTAGCTTTCGTCCGTATTGCAACATTGTTTATATTGAAACTATGTGTATTATAAGTTTAATATATAAAAAATGGCTGACGATATTCCCGTGGACGAGTATTACGATGCCCTAAAGCGCGATAAAAATTACGTCGAACCATTGGGTCGCGACTATCCGAAGTTCAAAATCGACAATGAAGGGACGCTGCGAGTGAAAGCTCATCCGGAGGTCGGTCTCATGAACAACCACACGAGAAAACCGCTCGCCCTGTCGATACTAGCCAGTCGCTGTAGTGGTAGTCAACTGATACGCGACGAACTAAACCTGCGAGATTACCGTGGCGCAAGACCCAAACAACTTCCGCCGAAGGTCGTCTGAAACCTGCAAAACGTAAGGACCAAACTCGGTGATGCTGGCGCTGATCTGAGAGAAATGCCCCAGCGCCCTAAAGGAGCGTCGGACAAAATTGAAAAAATATTGATCACGTACTCGAACGAACCCTTGCCCGGTTTCGAATTTCCTCTTAGGGAACTTCGTGGTCTAGTCGAAGCCTTGAAAAACGTGCGCGGAGAACTCGTGAACAACATGGGTAAACTGAACGAAATCGATGAGCACATCGCTCGCGATAAAAGAAAACTCAGGACGACGAAGCCACAAAAAAACATCGAGAAAAGATTAGGCAACCTGGAAGACGAGAGACGGACCAGATTGGAAGCCACTTCCTCCAACCGTGAAGTCCTCCAATCACAAATCAGCCGCGTGCAAAACGCACGAGGCGACCGAGTCTTGAACGAGGACACCATGTTGGCCGACAGGATCCGAATTCTGTTCCGGGAACAAGGAATCACCATCGCCAGCGTTCTCACGGCTTTGGACTTCATCATATCGACCCTGGTCGTATCACTGACGGGCGGTGGTGGTACACCAACAAGCCCATCATCAGGCGACGACGTCAGCTAGGCCCTGGCTGAACTGGCCGGCAAAGCCGCTGAAGCGCTGCCTGGCATCTTGGGCAGCATCATTTCCTGGTTGTTAGGCTTCTTGTCGAAAACGGTCACATGGCTCGGTCAAAACCTTTCGGCTTTCGTCGTCGCCATGGCGGGTCTGGTGTACGCCGCAGCTAGGGCTTCCACGGCCTTTTCTAGGACTCGAGGACTCCTCGAAAAGGGGAGATAACCTCGGCGTATTGGGTTACGCTGACAGACTGCCTGCCATGTGCTGAGCATGAGCGGCCGCTAACGTCTAATATTTAGTTAAGATATAACTTAATTATCCCGGAGGAAATTCTTATACATCCAAACTGTCTCAAAATGAATATGTACACAATTCACAAAAATATACACAATAATTACATGCACAAAACGAAAGCTGTTTACACAATAAAACTGACATGATATAATTCAATTAACCACATAGGTAAAGAGGATGAATAATTCTAGTTGTTATCACATGGTGATAATTCAAAATATTTGTTGCATTCACGAATACTTGATGCTTTGAAAGACTATCGAGCTCTGTTTGTTTTGAGGGAAGGTAATCGACAGCAGCGTCCAGAAAGAAGTACTTCAAAATGGTAAGATAAAATATGTTAACTATCAAATCTAATTTTAGTTGCCTTTTTGACAATCTGGCGCTCATAGATAAAGGGAATATAGGGAAATTCTGCCGGCAGTATTAACAATTTTGAAAAGTTTGTTTTTGTTGAGATCAGACAGGCCCCATACCAACATAGAACATTGTAGGTCAACATACTTTGGAATAAAGGTTTGTTAAAAACTGTCATTACGTTTTTGTCAATTCCTTGACGATAATAAGGTTCAGAATCAGAAATTAGGCCAGTAACAGTGGCGTCATCTGCGAATTTCACAGTAAACAAGTCATTTAATGACAAGTAACAGTCACTGGTATACAAAACGAAGAGTACAGATGAAAGAACAGAGTCCTGTGGAGCTCCAGTAGAGGTTGAGAGAAAAGAAGATTGATAGCCATTGACACTGACATACTGAGTTCTATGTACCCTGAATTCTTTAACCCATCTGATAATGTTTTTATTAACGCCTAGATTAAGTAGTTTACTCCTCACACGGTGTGGTTGTATGGTATTAGTTGTTACAAGTCTGCAGATGAGAGTAATTATTATACATCGTTTGAGATTTCACTTCTTAAAATGATTAGGTAAATATCTTAACAGACATGGAGAACCATAAAAAATCAAATGTATGGGCGTGTCTTGATCTGGATAGTGAAAAGAGAAAAATAACCAAATGCCGCCTGTGCGGTATATAACTGTGTTATGCAGGCAGTACAACCAGGACGATGAAAAAAAGAATTGGCAAGTAAACATCCAAATACGGATTCTGACCAATAGGAACGGCGATATGAAGTCGGAATGAAGTAAGTGTTCACTTGTGTGACTGGATTACATGTCATGCCGGTTACGTTATCGTTTGTTTGAAAGGTATGAATTTCGAGTACTCGGGTCCGAGTCGAGTCTCACCCCTCGAGTACTCGAGTCCAAGAAAATGGACTCGTTGAAGCCCTAGTCGCAGCTAAGGAATTTTTAACCAAATGAGGCACAGTCCAACCGCGATCCCGCCGACCACCAGCGCCTTTTTCAAATCAACGTGCCGCTGATTGTTTGCCTAGACGTCCACGTGCGGGGGCAGCTGCTGCTGTTGTTGTCATGGTGGTTCTACTTCTTCCGGTGTCGGTGCCATGATGCCCGTTTCATACTGCGGCACGACTCGACTCGCGTTATTGACGTCCGGGTTCAAGCCCAACTTTTGATCGCTTGTGGCGATGACGATTTCGTTGTTGTAGCCTACCACTCTGTTCACCCTCAGTTGCATGTCCCTCGGAGCCATGTACAGTCCCGCACCGAACAGGGTGTCGTTGAAAGCCATGTAATCGTTCCACTCGTTCGTCGTGATGTAATGATACAACTTGTAACCCCAATCTTTCACCAGCTGTTTGCTGGCTTCCGCGAGAGACATGTTGTGAACGATGGGAATGCCCAAACCGTTGTTCGGACCCTGCAAACGCCAATCGACCTACTTCGGATCTAGTTCGAATTCACCGCAAACGCGATGTACGTACGTCAATCATATTGAATTGTTATATATTTGTATACATATCTACTTTCCAATATGTACGAGACGCTTCCGGGAATCACGAGAGGCGAGTCCGTTCAACTGCTGCACACGATCGATAACACGTCCGGTCAGCTCAAAGTTGCACTCTGCAACATCACCTACTACCCGCGATGGATCAACATCAATGGCAAAAACAACAGGCTGTTCGTTAATAACGCCCGCAACCAAATAACGGGCGGCTACTACAGCGTGTGCTCGCTCAACGAAGAAATCTTCAAACCCGTGGGAGCCGAACTCAAAATGAACGACTCGAACGGCACGGTCGTGTTAGCCAACAACGGAAAAAACAACTTGAGGCTTATGTTTCTTGTCAGAGCTCTCCAACAGCGAAGCGTTGGTTCGTCACGCCGAAGACCCGGGTTCGAATCCCCACATGGGCACAATATGTGAAGCCCATTTCTGGTGTTCCCCGCGTGATGTTGCTGGAATATTGCTAAAAGCGGTGTAAAACCAAACTCAGTCAGTCAGTCAGTCAGTCCAACAGCGAGTGACTCTATCACTTGGCTGATTGTGTCCATAATTAGGTATATGACTTTATTGATAACATAGATTGTTGTTCAAGAAGTCATATGCTTCATTATTGACCAGAGGTACAGATAAGCTGCATATCTGCATAAAGTACGCAAATATTTATGTGAAAACTCAATTCCTATTAAGCTTATTGCATACAAGTACGCTTGAATTTTTGTAAATACTCAATAAATGTGATCTTACATGCATACACACAAAAGTGTCAAATATTAGCTTGCGTACCGGGGGGTTAGATAAATAACAGGTATATTGAGAGGTTCTATTTCAGGAAATAAACTTGACAACTTGCAGTTTCTCATAATACAGATAAAATATAAATAACAAACACTAACATTTAAACTTTAATACATTTTCAAAATTAATGGAAAATGGCAAAATACCCAAATGTCTTTGAGTGAGGTGAGTACAATTTATTTGGTTACTCAAAGGAAAATTAGGATACCCAATTGAGATGAACACAAGCAAGTACATAACTCAATGACCCAAAAAGTTATCAGTAGCTCTGGTCAACATTCCAAATTCTAGAATGCCAGTCAAACAACTAATTGTGTCTGTGTCTCACATTGTGGATGTTGTTGTTTTCATTCTTAAATGATGCCAAATTAACACTTCTGTTCAGAATATTTGGGTTATCACAGAGAGGGTCAGTATGTTTGCCGTAAACATTTCCTGAAAGTAAGTAACACTACACTAGTTGCTAAGGGTTTATGAATATTATGGAATGCAACATGCCGAAGTGTTGGATAAAGATTGTCCACATTACCTATAATAGATATTATGTGAGCAACTTTTGTCAAGAATGAATACAACAATAAAGTGTGATCACAAATATGACAAGTGACATTCGGTCAAGGATGTGATAGTTAGTTTCAGTTTTGGTTTTGATTGGCTCTTCCTGAAAGTAGGCGTTGGTTAGATATTTCTGATGGATTTTAAACAAAGAGTAGGTGATATGAGTTCAGGATAAGTCAAGTGTGGTTGGTAATTTTCATTTGAGAAACTATGTATGTGACTTACACGCATTACTTAGATTGTAGTTAGATTCGGAGTTGTATGTGACCAAATCTTCATTTGCTAAATATTGCCATGATCTGGCAGAGCTCTGAATATGTATAGGTGAGGTGAGGTGAAATTGGGTTTTACGTCGTGCTTGAGAATAGTTCGCTCATATGACGACGTGCATGTGTGTGTATGTGTATGTGCGGCTGCTTGTACTAGCCCAGACTTAAGCTGGTTTTATAGTGCTAGCCCACTGAGATACCATGCCGCAGTGAAGCATGAATACCCCACTCAGACACATTATACTGACTCCGAGCCGACCAGTCCTTGTTGTACCCATTAATGCCGAACGCCAGACAGGGACCAACAAATACCATATTTTAACGTCTTTTGGTATGATGTGATCGGGGATCGAACCCGCGACCTTCCGGTCTCTCCGGGCGGACGCTCTAACCACTACACCACGGAGGCGGTCTGAATATGTATAGAACAAGGAAGAAAATCCTGGGTAATTAAAATAAACACTTCTGTGTTGTGTGTGATTTACGTTGACAATGATGTGGGTTAATCTGTTATGGTCTGTCCAGTTTGTAAAAGTTTTTGAGGAAAGTAACACCCTGTAAAGTGTCACCCTGTAAAGTGTATCACGATGTCATCCTTTGTCTGTCTTCTGTGTTCACAAAATATATTTATCATTGAAAAGCTAAAATTATTTGTCCATTAATCTTGAAAGTAGGCAACAGCTGTCTAAACAGGATACTTGAATGTTTGATATTATAAAAAGAAAACACACTTTTCTCAATGAAAGGGATCAGTGAAAAATACTACTGTTACGTTATTCTGGTAATTGGACAGTGGTCTCCCATACAGACATAGGGTCGGTGGGGTAGCCTAGTGGTTAAGGCGTTCGCTCGTCACGCCGAAGACCCGGGTTCGAATCCCCACATTGGTACAATGTGTGAAGCCCATTTCTGGTGTCCCCCGCCGTGATAATGCTGGAATATTGCTAAAAAAGCGGCGTAAAACCAAACTCACTCACTCACTCACTCACCATACAGACATGGGGGCGGTAGGGTAGCCTAGAGGTTAAAGCATTCACTCTCACGCTGAAGACCTGGATTCGATTCCCCACATAGGCAAAATATGTGAAGTCCATTCTCGTGTCCCTCGTCATGATATTACTGGAATATTGCTAAAAGATGCTTAAAACTAAACTCATTCATAGTGTGAATGATGTTATGTTTATACGGTCAGCCACTAGCTCCACTCCCTTACAGGCCACCATGATATACCCTGATATCTGCAACATCATTGACTGGCATAAAAGAACATTCAGTCAGTCATTCACCTTAGTCTTTTTAACATAACTAGATCTGGAAGAAGGTGCTAGCCATTGACTAGTGACCATTATAATCCTCGGCTGTGGTTGTTGGTTGTGCATGTGCATCTGTTGTCAACTTTCCTGAATCATCTATTGATATTTTGGTTTCTGGTAGAACATGTACTCTTAAAACCCTCCAGTCTTGTCATGTTATTCATCTGTTGCTAGGCAAGGGCAATGAGGACAAGCGAGGTCAGCCAATCAACATTGGCGTTACAGAGAAAAGTTGGTTATACCTGAATGGCCAGCCGGTGGTGTGCAGTCGACACATGGAAACGGCAGCCATTGTGTCCGGGGATAAATCCTTCTATAAATGCCACAATGGACAGTGTGGAGATGGGTTCCCTGCAGCAGGTATGTACATTCACGAGGTCAAATGTTTATGTCTAATTTGAGTGAATTTATAAATTTATGAAGTTATAAATATTGTCTAACATAACTGTATTTTACAAATAGCTGTGTGAGAAGAAATGTTGATATAAAACAAAGGCATGGAAATGTAAAATATGCAAACTCATAGTATTATGGCGGACATAAAGTATATGTCACATTGTCAGGTATTTGAAAATGGAATGTAATGAAACTGTAGTGGTATAGATCATGTTCAACAGGACCACACAGGGATGTCAAGATAAAATTGTTGCCTAGCAACATTGCTGTTTATAAAGGAAATTTGTATGGATCAGGTGGCTTGTTTTGTTTGCATGCCATAGTACCCTGATGACGTCAGTTGTTGCTCACAATATTGATACCTGATTGTTCTGGTCCTGAATCAATTATTTACCATATATAGCTAAAATACTGACGAGTTTGGCTTTCACTAATATACAATTCAAAAAGATGTAGGACTTTGTTAAAAGATAGGCCAAGGGAAATCCCACATACAAAACAGATCAACAATTTAATGGGGACTATTTCTTTAATTTTGTGTTTTTATTTTAACCAAAACTGATCATAAAAATACTGTTCAGACAACTTACGAATGCTTGTACTGTGTGTAGTTGTATCAGAGGGGTTCAAGTTTACTCAAGGAACATGCAAGTACAGGATTTCTTTGGAATGTGAAAAAACATCTTTTAGGCTCATCTCAATAACAATGAGGAGAAGGAGGATGTCGCCAGGATCATTGCATGTGGTACTTTGTGCTAAGATCACCTTTTTGTATTGTTTGTGGTGGGTAATCTAGTGGTGAAAGCATCTCTAATGATACTAAGTATCTTGAGTTCACACCTGTGATACTGCTGGAAGTATGCTGTTGGCAATTTTGAAACCCAACAAATCAGTGGTTCAGGTTTTTTTCAATGTTGGTATATCTTTACAAACTGCATGAGTCAGCATGAATAATTTCCTTTCCTGTGAACCATTTTCTTCCCATTCCCTTATTTATGGGCTTGAAGTAATTGTTCGGATCGTGGCTTTTGGAATAAAACGATTCATGCTGCAAAACCTTATGTAAAGGTGGTGTTAGATATTGACCTACACATTTTTGCATCAAAGTAAAATTGAAAGGTCTGGTTTAATGAGATAGATTTTACAGAAGGTAGAACTGCATTTGATGTGTTTTTTGTTCTCCCTTTTTCAGGAATTATTGTGGCTGCTTTATGATAAAAGTCACCTAGCAAAGTAAGTTGAATCCATTGTCGTAAAGCTGTAGTAAGCTAAAATGTCCTTCAGTGGATGTTACATTACGTTTGTGTTGACTGATGCTTGTTTGCTACTCATCCCAACAGTAAACCATGAAGATCCAGGTAAGAATTGATCTTCAGTAGCCCATGCTTGTCGTAAGAGGCGACTAACAGGATCCGGTGCTCGGGCTCGCTGACTTGGTTGACACATGTCATCGTATCCCAATTGCATAGATCAATGTTCAGGTTGTCAATCACTGGATTGGCCCAGTCTGGATTATCAACAGATCACCATTTTGTTCTCAAACTCTGAAAAATATTGATTTCATAATGATATGGATCAGGTAATTAAGTTCAATCAGTGAAAGTTTAAAGCTTAATGTCCACTCTACAGATATCCCATGGCTCTCGGAACTTAGGAGATTTGGAGGAGATATCTACCTCACCTGGTCGGCCTCCACCGTTGGAACTTTTCAAGGAGGCAATTACATCATGCAAGAAGAATTACAACAACCAGCATGTCTATCCATACACATATCTCGGGGGCTTCCTCTACAGGAAGAAACACTACAAAGATGCCATACAGGCGTGGGCTGAGGCTAGCTCTGTTGTGAAGAGGTAAGAGTTGCACAGTGTCTGTCATTGAGTCCATAAAGATGCCATATGTAGAAATTGTCCCGGTTCTACGTAGTGTTTGAATGAGACTGCTTTGAAGTCTGTTCTGTAAAAATCTAATTGTCCATGGGTGTAGACATGTTGTTTTCTGGTCAGCTGTGCTAACACCAGGTTTGGAAATGAAATACAGGGATTTGGTTTGGTTGATTCTGCTAAAGTTGTCACTGTGTTAAGCCTATGTTGAAGTATAGGTGAGGTGAGGTGAAATTGGGTTTTACGTCGTGCTTGAGAATAGTTCGCTCATATGACCGCGTGCATGCATGTGTGTGTGTATGTGCGGCTGCTTGTACTAGCCCAGACTGAAGCTGGTTTTATAGTGCTAGCCCACTGAGATACCATGCCGCAGTGAAGCATGAATACCCCACTCAGACACATTATACTGACTCCGAGCCGACCAGTCCTTGTTGTACCCATTAATGCCGAACGCCAGGCAAGGACCAACAAGTACCATATTTTAACGTCTTTTGGTATGACGCGGTCGGGGATCGAACCCGCGACCTTCCGCTCTCCGGGCGGACGCTCTAACCACTACACCACGGAGGCGGTCTGAAGTATAGGAGTTAACATCATCTCAGCTGAAAGACCACTAGGACAGAATGGGGCCCTGCTTGTTTCATAATCACAACACACAGCTTGAATATAGAAACTAGTTCAAGCAATATTAATGGTAGCTTTCTTCTCAGTGTTTAATGGTTTTGGGAAAAGTAAATGCATTAGTATACTTATCTGACAGCTTTACGAACCAGGATCATGGTTCATGTCAGAGCTACAATGTGTGATCATGAGTCAGGATAAGTATAAAAATATCAATTTTACTTAAAAAATTACATGTTTGACACTGCTTGTTGTTTTACAGCTTCAACTACAACCGTGAAGATGAAGAGATATACAAAGAGTTCTTAGAGATAGCCAATGAACTTATTCCAAACATTGTCAAAAGCGTTGCAAGTGAATTACACAGAAATTCAGAGAATCGTCCACTTCTGCAAGACCCTGAAGTATACAAGGACATCTTACGCTTTTATGACGGCATCTGCGAGTGGGAAGAGGGAAGCTCCACACCAGTGCTCCACGTAGGCTGGGCACAGCACTTAGTGTTCACGCTATCCAAGTTTGACCCCCGTGTTCGATGTTTCCTGGATGTTGGTGCTTCTGATGGAGATGACGATGACGAAGAAGAAGAGAACCAAGAGCCAAAGGCAAAACGTGAGTCGACACGAAGAGCATCACACAGTGACGGAACGGGTCCTGTTGGGAGAGGGCGTCGTGGTCGGAAGAAGGCAACAAACGATGCCGAGACAAAAATGATGTGAAAAGTAACGGAAATGGGGTCAGTGTGAATGGTAAGAGTGACGATGATCAAATTAAATCAACGATCGAGAAACTGGTTTCCAAAGTCGGAGAAGAAGGACAGAATGACACTCCTAATCCCAACATTGCAGCTTTAGCTCAGGCGTGTAGCGAGTCTATTCTGAACAAGGACTATTTATTGGGAGGGGGTGAGCCATTCACAACAACAGCAACTGCTATAGCCACATCAACATCCTCCGAGCCCAGAGTAGAAATTAATGAATTTCTTAGTACAAAGTCGAATGGTACACCCTTCATGGGGCTGACTGTTGAGACCATGTTGAAAGCTGAAAGTCCTGCTGACATGATGTTGTGCAGAAAGGAAACAGATACTCAGCCAGCAGCAGATGACCTTGGGACCAAGGTCGATATTCTGGCAAGCTTGGACCCAGTTTCATTGTCTCTCCGGAGTGAGAAGATGAAGGGCTTGAAGAAGTTGCTAACGTCGTCGAAGCTGAACACGAGTGCGATAAAACTGCAGCTAACTGCACAGTCACAGGTGCATCTGAAACACAGTAAACGTGGAAGTGAAGCCGAGATGGTGTCTATGCGGAAAAGAACTAGAAGGGAATGAACCCTTCCATATTTCAGGAATCAGATGCTGAGTTGTCTCCTCTTGAACTTGCTGTTCATTTTCAGTGGATATGTTATCGGTGATTCGTAATGTATAGTGCTCCATGGTGCATATGTGTCGGTTTGTCAGTGTTCATGTTCAAGTACAAGAATTAATTAAATGTAATAGTTTGATGAACGAGCATGAATTGAAAGAGGGACTTGCATCATAGCTAGGCACCCACTTCTACCGTGTTCCCTTCTTGTAATCAGTGCAACATGAGAAACTAATACATTGTCTGTGTAACAAGTTTCATTAGCTAGATCAATATAAGTCAAATTTCAGTCAGCACAAAAAAACAAATAAAACCTACTCCTGTTGTACAAGGACTGCAAGTTTGCCGATGCTTAGTCCCTCTTTGAGACTGCAAGTTTCTAGTGTGATAAATGCTGAAAGACCTGTAAGTTTAAATTCCTAATTGGGGCCCAGAGATATCCTGTCAGCTGTAACCAATATGTGTGGAATTGGTTTCCAGCGCAGACTCTAGTAAACCTTTTTGTCTTTTATGTAAAATTTACCACACATTGTCTTAATTTGAAAGGAAGCCTTTACAGGCTTCTGATTTCCAGTTTGTAAGGTTTTGTAAAAGAAAAACAAACAATTTACCTGATTTTGGATGGTCCCAGACAGGAAACACACATATTTCAATTTTGTAAAAAAAAATATATAAATTTACAGGAAAGAAAGTGTGTAACTATTTTTAGACATTGAATACTTGCAGTGATGGCCTTCTGCAGAGTTGTACTGTTTAAACATTCACAGATCGGTGAGCATAAAAAAATCAAAAATGTTTTAAGCTTCTTAACTAAGTGATATCCACCTTATTTTTACATTTTAGACTTTTACTTCAGAATGTGCTAGTTTTCCAAAACTTTTTATTCATTGCTGTCTCTCACTTGAATGTTTTACCATGTTCAACCCATCCTGCCATACTGTATATATCTGTTGCCATGGTTACAGTGTGTTTATTTACACATCTTAGTTGTGATTGATGGAGAGAAGGATCTTGCTCTATACTCTTTGTCAGTGCTGCCGAGCTATTTGTGTGTAAAGGAGTATCTGTGAAACAACATCAATATTTATACAATTCTGTAGCATACAGTGCTTAAGTTACGTGACCTGTCAGCCAAGTCGAGTCATCCTGTTTCTGAGTGATGTTGATGTCTACTTTTACGCAAATCTCCACTTCACCACTAGCTTTTTATATGTTAAGGACGTGGTTCCAAGCATTTTCAGATTGATACAGGAATATTTCATGAAGAAATCGGTCTTTCTTTACAACACTGAAACAAGGGACATCACTCTACTTCTGCCATACGTAGACATGAAAACCACAAGTGATTATCTCCCATGGCCTTGTGAACTGATGTTATTAATGCATGCTATTCTTGTATCTTACTTGAATGAAACCCAGTGATAAGGGATACTGATACTTTGAAAACAGTAGCATTAGTCTTTTGGAAACATATCTTTTAATGCTTCCTTATCTTAATTATTTTCATAAAATACATTTGAATTTGTCCTGGTGAATAAAGTTAAGGTATGGTTACTATGGTAACAATGCTGTAGTCATGGAGAATTTGATCCGGATTGGTGACAAGTGCGGTGCTGACAAGACAGTGTATATCGGTTCTTGGTACTAAACAGTTATTTTCATTTAGGTTAGGCTGTTAATGTGCTTCCGGTTAATTCATATATTGTCCTGACATTTCCAAGATTTCAAAGAAAGACAAAACTGTACGTTCATTTCATTCTCATATGTCTCTCCCAGGACACAAAAAGTGTTTTACATCATTTAAGGTTCACATAAAGAGATTGACAAATACAGCCCTCAAAATGGCAACTAATGTGTTTTGGAAAACGTCATAACTTATTTGCTGAATGTTTTTGTTCATACTTGGTAAAGAGAATGTTGATTGCAAAATGATTCTTCAGTGAGAGGAAAGAGGTATTGGTGTAATTTGACAGAGACACACTGTGGACTGTCATTGTCATTAGGAAGTTTCTGTTAATGAAACACTGAAGATCAAAGAATTGTGTTTCTTATGGAGTGTGGGTGGCTGGCTGGCTAAGTAGGTGAGTGAGTGAGTGAGGCATATGAACAATTTTCTGTCAAAAATTAACCATAATCTTGAATGAATGACAAGCACCACAGAATCATTTGTTTCATCTTACAAAGCTTTCATATTTTCATCCAATAAATAAGTACTTTTTACAATGTATTTACTGGCAGCCCATACACGTATACCGGTTTGTGAGGTGAAAAAAAGACACAAGTGAAGTCTCAGTTTTAGTTTTATGGTTTCGATGAGTGGAGGTATTGAATCTTGAAGCTTCTGCCCAATGAATATAATATTGAAACACAAAGTCTTAAAAATCCATCTTTTACCCGGTTGATAAATCTCTCCATGAATGTGGGATAACACCTCCATAAAGAGTTGCATCGGGTGACACCCCATTGTAAATGAAGGATGTGTGGCTTCTTCAGCCAATCAGAAGTCAGCTGTCTGAAACAGTTTGGCCTTGGTGTTTAACCGTTTCTATTTTGACAAAAACATCAAATATTTCTTTGATGGAACTACTGTTTTGGTGAGATGTTGTGACAGACAAAGTGCAGAAAATATCCGCAACTGTATAATGGCAATGTGTTTTTTATTTACATGTTTAACATTTTTTAGGTTTATTTTCAGATTCAGTAGTCTTAATGATTCATTCTTTTGTACTGAGAAATTACAGGGAGTGTTTACCTTGAAGACCCATCAACAATATTGGGGCTGTTCTTGGTTATGAGAATTTAGAAATCTCAACATTGGAGGTGTCGTCACCTGTTCACACAGAGAGGTATTTATCAGAGTAAAAGGTCTAATTTTAATGAAATACTTTTAAAATACTAATCATAAGTGGGGACATTGTCATATACAGCATTGTGTGGGTAAAAATGTCACCATCATAAACAAACTGTTGATAAATATTTCATTAATATTTATGTTTTCACTTTCATCAAATATACTCATTCACTTCCGTCTCTTTTGCATACAATTTCCATCTGTTTCTACTCATGCCATTTGTACAGGGAAACAGCTTGTGATCCTTTATTGTCTTTCTGACATCTTGTTATATACTTGTGATTGCAGACATTTTTGTATTGAAACAAGGGCATTTTATTCACAGAAATTTAATATTCTGTTATGATTAGTGAAAATGATTTTGCCATGAATGTATATATAGTCATTTTGCGAATTCAAATTTGATCCATATGAATGCATCAATGATATATAATGCTACATTTAAGTTAAGGTCCACCCAATTCTCACAGGTTAACTATTGTAACATGAAAGAATTGGATGTCCTTAACTTTTTTTGAGTAGTATGGTACATGCCAGTAATGGTGTCGTGATTTTGCCAATCTGGTGTTCACTCATTTTGTGACCTCACCACTGTACTATGTATTTCAGTGTGAACTGGCGCTTACATTTTATCGTTCACTTGAGCAAGAGGCTTTTGTGAGCTCTGTGCTGAATCGTCTGTCAAAACAGTTTGTGAGTCTTTAGTCCTCCGAAACATAAATATGGTACAGGCTCATAATTTTGTGTCTTGTAAATACAAGGGGATTAAAATAAACAGCAGAAATGTACGCAGTTATAAAACACAACATACATACGTATTTCACATTGAGCTGAACAAGCGCAACTGAACACACAGGGCACTTATTGTGATGTTTTTCGCACTTTGCAGATTTGACAAAACTGAATGTATTGTTTTCCACACTTCGCAGACTTGACAAAACTGAATGTACTGTTTTCCACACTTCGCAGATTTGACAAAACTGAATGTACTGTTTTCCACACTTCGCAGATTTGACAAAACTGAATGTACTGTTTTCCACACTTCGCAGACTTGACAAAACTGAATGTACTGTTTTCCACACTTCTCGCAGATTTGACAAAACTGAATGTACTGTTTTCCACACTTCGCAGACTTGACAAAACTGAATGTACTGTTTTCCACACTTCGCAGATCTTGACAAAACTGAATGTACTGTTTTCCACACTTCGCAGACTTGACAAAACTGAATGTACTGTTTTCCACACTTTTCGCAGATTTGACAAAACTGAATGTACTGTTTTCCACACTTCGCAGACTTGACAAAACTGAATGTACTGTTTTCCACACTTTTCGCAGATTTGACAAAACTGAATGTATTGTTTTCCACACTTCGCAGACTTGACAAAACTGAATGTACTGTTTTCCACACTTCGCGCAGATTTGACAAAACTGAATGTATTGTTTTCCACACTTCGCAGACTTGACAAAACTGAATGTATTGTTTTCCACACTTCGCAGTCTCGACAAAACTGAATGTACTGTTTTCCACTCTTCGCAGATTTGACAAAATTTAATGCAATGTTTTCCACACTTCAAAGACTTGACAAAATTTAATGTGATGTTTTCCGCACCTCACAGACTTAACAAAATTTAATGTGATGTTTTACACACCTCACAGACTTGACAAAACTTGATGTGTTTTTAACACTTAACCGAACATAGACAACACTCAATGTAATATATTTCACACTTAACAGACCATAAGCACCACTCTTCAGCATATACGAAACACATAATGAAAGTTTTTGACACTTAATATACCCAGTGCTTGGTAGTTTGCTCAGCACTAAAGGCAAAATATACACGAAGCCACGTTGACATCTGACAGGCCCTGGATGAGAAACACAGGCACTCTTCACACGAAGGAAAGATAACAATACTTGGACAAACAACTTTATTACAGTGAGAGTGACGTTTCGGTGTAGGTTCTAACCTTGTTATCAAGCAAGTGTTAGAACCGAAACGTCACTCTAACTGTAATATAGAAGTTGCTCATCCATATATTGTTATCATTCCTTATTGATCCAACTTCTAAATGTCTCTCAAAGAAGTTACTCTTCTGCCTACAAAACAATCACAACACTTAGTGTCTGCAGTGTGAGCTACAGAACACCAGGGTTGTCCATTGTTAACTGAAAGGTGCAATTTGTAAATACACCTACATATATGATTGTCGCCATGGTAACTGACATCAATGTTTCCCCATCATTTTATCCCATACCTTCAATCCAAGTCCACTTTTAGAGCACATTACACACCATTTTCACTACCTATTCCATTCTTAATTGCACTTCTTGACTATTTGACAAAACAAACCTTGAAATAATCCTCTTATGTAATATTTGTTGCCTCTGCTGAATAGGCTCTAACAGAAAAAGGTACATGTCTAAGATTTATTTTAGCAGGATATGAATTATCTCCCTTTAACGTTGTGTCATGCGTTTGTCGGACTTCCGTCCCATAGCTCCTTGTCACTGTTGATCTATGCCAACCCCTGATGGAGCTCGTTGTTTATTTGACAAGTGTTAAGTAATGGTTGTTGATGTGATATGTAAAGTGTCTATTAATCTTTCTTTGTTACTCCTGTTTAAGTTCGAGTTTCGGAGTTGAAGTGGCCTTAACGTGGTGTGAGATATGTCTTGATCTACAGCAGATATATGTGCGGTATATGTTTTTCTCATTTGGACAACATCTTATATTACAAATTCAACATATGATAATGAAACATGCATTTATTTTTAAATTTACATGTTTCCACTTGAGAAGATAAGCCATTTGTTTGGATTTTGATTCGTAGTTATAAACAGAGGTTTACAATATCTAAAGACAAAACTCACCTGGGCCAAACCTGAAATAGTTCCTGTTTCAGTCAATTAAAGTTTCAGTTTTGAGTGTTTAGTGATAAAACAATCACCTGTCATTCCATTTACTTCCTGATAAACAGATGTTGTGTACTTTAATAGGAGATCAATGATTATTATTATGATTAAGGATGCTGCGAGGCTGGTTGTATGTCGTGATTGGAAACAAATATCATCATTACAGCACTGTATTTTGAACAAATGATATTTACAAAGAAGCTTTGGAAAAAAAGAAGAAATTTCTCATTCTCTCAACTAACACAGGACAAGTTTAATTATTGTTGTTTTTGGAGTGTGTTTGCAAGTTATTTACCCTTCAGTGATCTTGGAACAGTTAACATTGATATAGAATCAGAAAGTGTTGCAGTGATGGAAGAATATAAAATAACATGCATATTAATCTTGAGAAAAGATAAATAAACAACTCAATATAATTTAACGAATATCCCATTTTCTATGAAAATAATCTGTCATACTTTGGTATTATACAGTATGTTTACAAGTGTTAGAACTGCCAACAAAGAGTGCTGTGTATTTTCTCGTGTTCTTCTGTCTATTACAATTGTTTGTTAAAAAATCATTTTCAAAATACTTTTTTCTATGTGTGACTTGGAGTCATTGGTTACTTTGACTTTCAAACTATTTTAACTGACCTTTGTCCATTGTTTAATTGATGCAGCCATTTGGCATTTAGTGCGTTGAAATTAACTTATTTTTAGACATTTTTAAAATCTTTCCCTCCCCTTTGTATTATACTTGACAAGACGGTGCTGATGTAGGGGACAAGATGTCTGATAGATATGGTTTATGCAGTATTCACATTTTACCCTTGTTTTATTGTACAGGGAAGTATTCGCTAGATGCAATTAGTGCTGTTGGTTTGGTCAGTGGCAATGTGTCCAAAATGCAGGTCATATTCTCATCTGACTTTCATCAAGGTGACTCTAAATGTATTTGTCAAGATGACCTGAAATTCTATTTTTTAAGGCAACACTACATGTTTTTTTCTTTAATTGCTTCTTCACTGCAAACAGCTGCGAGATTGCTGATGTGGAAGTTATCATTCTCTCTTTCTTTACTTCCTGGTTGACAGTTTGTACCGCAAGTGTACAATTTACATAGAAACAAACTACTAGTAAACATGCTTAGAACATCCTTTCTTTGAGTTACACCCTGTATTGTACTGATGTTCATTTCATTATATGACCTCATAAGGTCAAGGTCATCAACTCAACCTGACATGGCTTTCATGTACCGGAGGTGGTGATGTCTCAGAATTTGTTAAAGAATTTTGAATGAGGTACTCTGTTCATCTGAAACCTGAAACAGTTTATTCCCCAAATCATTTTTTTTTTATATAGCGTCTATTTCCTTGTACATATCATGTTGATGTATATATTACCTTATTGAGTATTTTATCATTGATACAATGTAAATATGTTCATTTCAAGTTGAATGCCCACCTGTGATTGTCTGATGGTTTTAGCAGTGAAATGTCTCTCAAGAACACATTAAACTCTCACACAAATGTTATAACATATTGAACCCAATAAGTGCCTCAGTGAATTAGGTGAGATTTTGACAGTCCCCCTACCCCTCCCCCATCTTCTACCCCTTCGATCCCATCCCTCCTCACTAGACATATAATGTTTGAAGGAGTAGCCCAGTGGTTCAAGCGTTCAAATCATCCCACGGAAGATGCAGTTTGATTCCAAGGTACCATGTGTTAAGCTCACTTCTTGTCTCATTATTATATAGCAGGTACTGACAAAACACTTGCTTCAAATACATTTGGTAATTGTCAATATTTCACAAGAGACTAGTTGCAAAAAATTATATATATTTACAATAAAACTTTTGGTTTGCAGTACATAAGATGAATGTTATTGCGAAGCAGTAAGATCTAAAAATCACACAGTTATTAAACTAGAAAGTGGCGCTGTATAGTGAAACCCTGTAAGACTGGTTCCTGTTAATTCACACATGTTCACATGACCAGTTGAACAGTTTGTTAGCTCGTCAGATTGATTAAGAAACATCTAACTTATTTGTTGCTGATAAACAAGTACAACCGTCCAAACTGATGATATTTCCAAGAACTGCACCGTTTTGTGGGAACTTAATTTAACAAACTGAGATGTTTATTGGGTTGAATATGGTATATCCCATGACATTTTAAAAACATGCCATTTAATCTGCTTTAATGTCACTGATTGACAATTTGAACTTCACATATCAGGAGAAAAAATATTATATTTTTAACTTTTATTCATCAGGAGTATATGAGGATACACTGGTTGATGTGACTGTCAACATACCTTCACATCTTATATGTTGAAAATACATGAACATTTCATAGATGATCAGTGTATCAAGGACAATCGACACTACATACAGTAAGCTGTTTAGAGATTGTTTATTGTACAGTATTTTGTTTATTTCATGGTGTAGACATCTGTACACATTTTCCATAGGCATGAGAGAAAAAATGTTAAGATTAAGATAAACGGTGCTTGTTTGGTGTTATGGTATAAATTTACAATATTAGAACCCCTTTGAACAACAGGGAGGGTTCCCTTAGAAGCGTTTTGTTTAGCCCATAAGGATGTATATTTGGATATTAATACAGTACGTTTCTAACATATGAGAAAAGGTGAGCATAATTATTTTTCAGTCATATCTTCAAGACAGCAATTTATTGTCAACCTCTGATTTGTGTTGGACAAATCTGGTTTGTAGGTTGGAGTTACCTCCCCTCTGTCATGTGGTAGCGTTAGTGGTGAGAAATGTCTCCAGTGATGTCGTGGGTGCATGTCGGACGTTTGTGCCAGTTTCATAAAGTATAGACTGTTATAGGAAGTATCGTTACTGATTACCATCAATTAATGTGTTGTAGTAGATCTAGATACATCCTCGTTACATATGTCAAAATTTCATGAAAAACTTCCCGGTTTGTTTTTTATCAACACCTCTCAACAAAATCATGATACAGGTTGGCAATACACCTTGAACATTGGATGGCCAAAATGGACTGTGACTGAGGATAAACATAAGTGGGTTTCCAAAACCATTCATTTGGGTTGGATTTAATCTGCAGGTTTGCCTGTTCCACACCTAATCATATGATTAGCTTGTACATCAGTGAATCGGCTAAAACTTCCTGCATTCACTCAGGGCAGTGGGGTAGCCCAGTTATTAAAGTGTTCACTCAACACGCCAAAGGCATGTGAAGCCCGTTTCTGGTGTCCCCCGCTGGAATATTGCTAAAAGTGGCGTACTCACTCTTACATTCACTCTTTTCTAAATAAGGGCGGTGGGGTAGCCTAGTGGTTAAAGCGTTTGCTCGTCACGCCGAAAACCCGGGTTCAAATCCCCACATGGGCACAATGCGTGAAGCCCATTTCTGGTGTCCCCCGCCATGATATTGCTGGAATATTGCTAAAAGCGGTGTAAAACCATACTCACTCACTCACTTTTCTAAATAACATATATTTGATCAAAATGAGAGTGAAACATTTCGAAAACTGTCGAATAATTTAGGAGAATTGTATTATTTCTAACATGTGAAATTTTATGGAATTATTTCACAAAGGTGCAGTCAGTTTGGTTTGTTTCGTAGAGAGGTGTGTTGGGCAACATTGTTTCTCATATCATTGATTTTGTTCATCCCAATGTTCATTTGCATTTCAAGTTCAACCAAAGATTTGTTGGTATATTTTTTCACAAATCATTAAGTAGTTACAGGTTGAATCAGCCATTACCTGGTTTATCCAGGCTGGAGTCAGCACTCACACAAACCTCTGAAGTAGAACTGCTTCAGACAGTATGTGACACTGAAGAAAGCGTTCAGCTTTTACAGAAATGAGACAAGTGGGGAAAATCTTGCTATAGCAAATTCAGATATGAATATTAAAGTATAGCTTTTCACAATATCCTATATTTCATATGATTACAAGTAATTTTTGTTCTCTGTAAGGACAACAAAATGTCGTGGTTATAGCCTCTGAAATTATACCCTTAAAAAACTACCATGTTCCGGGGAGTGACCCAAAGTTAGCAGGGAAACACTATCAGCTCTCAAGAAACCCTAGTGGTTGGAACACCTATTGGGCTGGCCCAGTGGTTAAAGCGTTCCCTCTTCACGCAGAAGACCCAGGTTCAATTGCTTACATGGGAACAATTTTGGTGGCCCATTTTTGGTGTCTGTTTCTAAAAATAAGTCCCTCATTGAACACGTAAAAAATAGCTTTTCGTTTTGAAATACATGTAAATGTTTTTAAGAAGCTTTCATTTCACTGTATTCAATGGGTCTTGGGAGAATTCTTTTACCAATAGGGTCAGTTTTTGTAACAGGAAAATTTCAACTTTATATTGCTTTCACATGACATAAAAACAAAACTTGTGTAATTACTTCGCCTCTAGAGATGTGGAAAGTCAAGGTATCACTAATTTCCCTTGTTGGTATAAATATGATTTTAAGAATCACAGTTCTACAATTGAAAAAGTCTCATCTAAAACAAGCCTATCAGGGTCTTTACTTTTTTTATGCTAGTCAAAATGTGTATCCAGTGCGCCATAAGTTGCCGAAAGTCTGTTTAAACCCAATTTCACCTCACCTCACCTGTTTAAACCAAGGGGAGTTTCTCCCAAGGGAAATGACTCTTCCATTTTATTATTCACTGATACTACTGATATTGTAAGACGTGATCAGTGATTAGGGTAACGGGTCAATGAGTCTGCTACCTGGTACATCTACATATTTTATCCATCTCTTAACTAGTACTGTTCTGTCTAGGTTGTTCCAGCACGGGAGGAGAGCTTGTTGGTGTCATTGTGTCATCTCTGTCTCATCTTGATGTAATCACAGTCAAATGTTGGACACTGTACAGATACCCGGCTTAATAAAAAGTCTTTACTTTTTGTTTGCATTTTGCTTTTTATGGCTTCGTGGTTGAAATAAGTGAATTTGATGCACTATTCTCTATACTAAGCAGATTTAAATGCTGGGTGCTTATTGAAACCAAACAAGTCAAGTTCTTGTCCAAGATATAGCATTGATATAATGGGCTGAAGCTGTTACCGAGAAGTGTTTATTTGAGGACTGACACCACTGGGCTTATGCATGGACATACTGGTGTGCAGCTGTTACCAAGGCGTGTAGATGTACACTCTGGGCATAGTCATGGACACACAGGCCTATACCTCTTACCAGGGAGCGTGGAAGTAAGGACAAACATCCCTGGGCTTATGTGTGGATATACTGGCCAATAGCTGTTACCAGGGAGTGTGGAAGTAACTGATGCCACTGGGCTTATGCATGGACACAGGCCTATTGCTCTTACCAGGGAGCGTGGAAGTAACTGATGCCACTGGGCTTATGCATGGACACACAGGCCTAGTACCACTGATGCCACTGCCACCAGGAGTGGGCTTATGCATGGACACATGCATGGCCTATTGCTCTTACCAGGGAGTGTGGAAGTAACTGATGCCACTGGGCTTATGCATGGACACACAGGCCTATTGCTCTTACCAGGGAGTGTGGAAGTAACTGATGCCACTGGGCTTATGCATGGACACACGGGCCTATTGCTCTTACCAGGGAGTGTGGAAGTAACTGATGCCACTGGGCTTATGCATGGACACACAGGCCTATTGCTCTTACCAGGAGTGTGGAAGTAACTGATGCCACTGGGCTTATGCATGGACACACGGGCCTATTGCTCTTACCAGGGAGTGTGGAAGTAACTGATGCCACTGGGCTTATGCATGGACACACACCTGGCCTATTGCTCTTACCAGGAGAGTGTGGATGCCACTGGGCTATGCACTGCTCTTACCAGGGAGAGTGGAAGTAACCACTGGGCTTATGCATGGACACACAGGCCTATTGCTCTTACCAGGGAGTGTGGAAGTAACTGATGCCACTGGGCTTATGGACATGGCCTATTGCTCTTACAGGGTGTTGGTACTGATGCCACTGGGCCATGGACACACAGGCCTTGCTCTTACCAGGGAGTGTGGAAGTAACTGATGCCACTGGGCTTATGCATGGACACACAGGCCTATTGCTCTTACCAGGGCTTATGCATGGACACGGGCCCAGTAACTGAGTGTTAGCCATGCCAATGGGCCTATGCATGGACACACGGGCCATTGCTCTTACCAGTGTGGAAGTAACTGATGCCACTGGGCTTATGCATGGACACACAGGCCTATTGCTCTTACCAGGGAGTGTGGAAGTAACTGATGCCACTGGGCTTATGCATGGACACACAGGCCTATTGCTCTTACCAGGAGTGTGGAAGTAACTGATGCCACTGGGCTTATGCATGGACACACGGGCCTATTGCTCTTACCAGGAGTGTGGAAGTAACTGATGCCACTGGGCTTATGCATGGACACACAGGCCTATTGCTCTTACCAGGAGTGTGGAAGTAACTGATGCCACTGGGCTTATGCATGGACACACAGGCCTACCAGGGAGAGTGGAAGTAACTGATGCCACTGGGCTTATGCATGGACACACAGGCCTATTGCTCTTACCAGGGAGTGTGGAAGTAACTGTGCCACTGGGCTTATGCATGGACACACAGGCCTATTGCTCTTACCAGGGAGTGTGGAAGTAACTGATGCCACTGGGCTTATGCATGGACACACAGGCCTATTGCTCTTACCAGGGAGTGTGGAAGTAACTGATGCCACTGGGCTTATGCATGGACACACAGGCCTATTGCTCTTACCAGGGAGTGTGGAAGTAACTGATGCCACTGGGCTTATGCATGGACACACAGGCCTATTGCTCTTACCAGGGAGTGTGGAAGTAATTGATGCCACTGAGCTTATGCCTAGGCATAGTGCCTAGTAGTTCTTACCAGGGAGTGTGGAATTGAGGACTGACATCACTGGGCTTATGCTTGGACATAGAGGCCTATAGTTGTTAGCAGATACAGTGGAAGAAATGACTGTACATCACTGTCTTATGTATTGGCCTATAGGGAGTGTGGAAGTAGGGATGGACATCACTGGGCTTATGCGTGGACACACAGGCCTATTACAGTAACCAGGGAGTGTGGAAGTAAGGATGGACTTCACTGGGCTTATGCATCTACACACTGGCCTATAGCTGTTACCTTGGTGTGGAGAGGAGAGGAAAGGTATCAGTGGGCTTATGCATGGACGCACTGACATATTGCAGTTACCTGGGACTAGAAGTGAGGACTGCCATGAGTATGTATTTAGTGAATAAAGGTGTTAACGCTGATAGCTTCAGGCTTGTGGGTCGTTCTACTGACCAATACCTGTTGCCAGGAGGCTAATAGTAAGGCCATACACCACTCGAATTATGTTTGCACATACTGGATCACGGCTGTTACAAAGTGTATATCAGCAACAACTGACAGCAGGGAACAAGGACACACTGGGTTACAGTTACATGGGAGGTTAGAAATAAGGACTGAGTTTATGCAATGACAAACTGGTAGCAATGCCTGACACGATATTTGTAGACATCTGTAAAAACTGCCATGGCTTTCCATTGCTGGACCGAGTAAGACGGTCCACGCGGATGTATACGTGTAAGAACCTGTGAAGATTCGGGTTAGAATTGATCTTCAGTAACCCATGCTCGTAAAAAGCCACTAACGGGATCGGGTGGTCAGGCTTGCTGACTTGGTTGACACATGTCATCGTATCCCAGTTGCGTAGATCGATGCTTATGCTGTTGATCACTGTATTGTCTGGTCCAGACTCGATTATTTACAGACCGCCGGTGTATAGCTTGAATATTGCTGAGTGCGGCGTAAAACTAAACTAACTCACTCAGTATACATGTAAGAAGTAGCCAAAAGGATAGGTGGTCCGACTCTTGTGAATCCATCATGATGTGTGTTTTTCTAAGTGCCACGCTAAACAACTAACAAACGTGAAACATTTGGACTCCGGCCTTACCTCACAGTTGTATGTCCCCAATATCTTTATTCATTTACATTTTGTGTTTATGAAACGATAACCAACTTTTCCAGCGGTGTGGTTCATTATGTATGCACACTAATATATAAGCAGTGGCTTTGTAGATTTTCTAATTACCAAGGTGCTGACGTTTATGTATGTTTGTCGCCCTGACAACACGCTCCCAGTGCCAAGTCCCAGAGAGAGGTTGCTATGACGATATACACATAGTTCTAGGCGATAGCCGGTGGCGTCCTTTTCTCAGTGACAGATCAATATGTCAAACAATGCTTTGGCGGCGACTTCAAAGCATAGTGATTGCTGTAAAGGTATGCGTAGATATCGTAGTGTAAATAACCTGTTTCGAAACGGTCACGGATCAAATTAAGTTGAAGCATCGGATCACGAAAAGTTTCCATCTGTAGTACTGGTAGTTTCGTTTTCAGATTCGGCTCCTGCAGATATTTCCAGAACTATTATTTAGTAAACTCGTTTCTTTGAAATATTTCAATGTGTATTGGCCATGTGATTCCTCTTTAGCAATCTCTGCAGAAATTCAGATCACGAACGTTACAATCAATAAGACAAAAGATCAGAAAATGGTGCCTGGTAATGGACAGGAGGTCGATCTGATGTTACCGCCATACAGCTTCCCGTCTCCCATAACTAGGCCGGGGCAGAGCGTTTGTCGAGAGAGCGGATGGTCGGTGGTTCGAACTCCAAACGTAAGCACAAGATTAGTCTGCGATACAGACCCGGAAGCAGATATATCCAAGAAAGCTCTCACAAGTCTAGAAAATGTGGCAAGTCTAGATTTCCACGTCATCAGGCCTGAACATGAAGAAAGTTTCAGGGCTCCTTTTCAAAATATTTCATTTTTTTCCTATGAGCTTTTTATCTGTAAAATATGTTCATTTCAGAGACTAGTTGTTAGTCTAGCACAAGATATTAGAAGAGAAAGTGAGTGAGTTTAGTTTTACGCCGCTTTTAGCAATATTCCAGCAATATAACGGCGGGGGACACCAGACATTGGCTTAACACATTGTGCCCATGTGGGGAATCGAACCCGGGTATTTGGTCGTGACGAGCGAATACTGTAACCACTAGACTACCCCACCACCCCAGGTATTAGAAGATGACCCCACGCGTAATAATCCGGCCATATGTCTGTAAATAATAGGGGCCTTGGGGTAACCTAGTTCTTAAAGCGTTCACTCGTCACGCCGAATACCCGGGTTCGATTCCCCACATGGGTACAGTGTGTGAAGCCCATTTCTGGTGTGCCCCGACGTGAAATTGCTGAAATATTGCTAAAGTCGGCGTGAAACTAAACTCACTAACTCACTCATATCTGTGGTACACTGTGAATGAATAGAATGATATTCTTCCTGCATGTAGTTTACAATGGGAGCTTCTGCTCTTGTTTGAGAATAATCATCCTCTATGTGAGCCCTGGGATAATGAAAATTTGACTTCCCGTGATATTCTATGTTCAAAGAAAATTGACAGCATCAAAACATGTATGTGGTTCATTCGTAAAAATTGTGAAGGCAGGCTCCGTTTTTGTGTTGATATTCTTTCCGCAATTGGATTCATGTTTTGGTAGTTGATGGGGAACTGCTCTAACTTATTTATCCACATGTTGTTATTATTTTGCCCACGATTAAGTTAATACAGCTCTAATACAAGCATTTTAAACAACACGCACACATGCTAGCAAGGACAGTAGGTTACAATGTGATAAAAGTTGTTTCTAAACGTTTAGGTTTAGAAGGTACATTCAACGATTATGTAAATCGGTCTAAGACATCAGCGCTCACAAAATATGTCTGTCTCACAGTCCCAGGGCAGCTTTATTTTCCCCACTGCCTAGCCCTCCCTGCAGCGGTAAGGCCCTAAATGAAGCAAGCCCAGATTTTCTCAGGTTCTGAATTTCCCATCTCACTGGGGCTCCTTTACAATGTAAATAG